TGTACTGTGTTCTCTGCGTTACTTCTGTGTTTATCATGTACGTTTTACCCAATGCTGTAAAACAACATAGAAATCAATTTGCTTGGCCTTAGAGCGGCTGATGCACATCACCATCTGCAGGCAGACGATAGTTCCATTGACAATCAACCCGACGCCATTTTGTACTGTGGAACTGTTTGATCCGCACTCACCGACTATTACCGAACGGCGGGAGTTATGTTGGACGATGTAACAGCTAGCTTGTCGCACCAGCGGGGTGATACAAGGTTTATACAACAGCTAACTTGTCGCACCAGCGGGGTGATGCACGGTATATACAATAGCTGACTTGTCGCACCAGCGGGGGCGGTAGAGTTAGTCCTTAGCCTTGTGTACAGTGTTGCCGAGGAGTTCGGTTTCGAGTTACAAAGTGTTGCAGCATGACTACGTAGTCTAGGTGCAATATGTAAAGTTGGACGATCTAGACAACATTAGTTTTCAGTAGTCAAGGCCGCTCTCTATTGTGAAAGTTAATTAATTACTAAAGTCCTTGACCTGAATGTGAACTTAAACAGAACTTACAATAGTAAGACAAGGCTCAGAACGTACCCTTCCCAAACCTGTTATTTGACATATACGACCTGAACAATAGTAAAACCAAAGTAAATGTCTGCGGCATATATCTCTAGATGTCAATGTTTGAAAAAATCAAAGTACATTGAAAATAACAATAATCTCAAATCTTTTTTTAAAAATATAAGAAAAAACTACCATCGACTTATATCAGTGTGCCAGGACAGCTGTCGTAAAATAATGTCCAAGCTGGCCTCGGTTATATCTCACAGAATTATATTAAGATGAAAGACGAAAACATCAAAACCCGCTAGTGTGCCAAAGCGAAAATAAGACTATAAATAATATAAATAAAAGACCACAAACCGAAATGAAAAGTCTACAAAAAGGGTTGTCTGTTTCTTCGCTTTCACATCTTATCGTCATGGCACATTTACTTTTTTTGTTTTTGTTTTGTGCTTTGCTCTGAGAGCTTAGAGTTACAATATTGTTTTATTTCATAAAAATATGAAAAAGTAACTTCCAGTGATTTTGCTAATTTCTTATTTTGTTACGGTACTTCCTGATGTGTTACCTGTTATATTACAGCATTACCTGATGTGTTACTTGTTATATTACAACATTACCTGATGTGTTACCTGTTATATTACCTGATGTGTTACCTGTTATATTACCTGATGTGTTACCTGTTATATTACCTGATGTGATACAACATTACCTGTTACCTGTTATTATTACAACATTACCTGATGTGTTACCTGTTATATTACAACATTACCTGATGTGTTACCTGTTATATTACAACATTACTTAATGTGTTACCTGTTATATTACCTGATGTGTTACCTGTTATATTACCTGATGTGTTACCTGTTATATTACAGCATTACCTGATGTGTTACCTGTTATATTACCTTATGTGTTACCTGTTATATTACAGCATTACCTGATGTGTTACCTGTTATATTACAACATTACCTGATGTGTTACCTGTTATATTACCTGATGTGTTACCTGTTATATTACAGCATTACCTGATGTGTTACCTGTTATATTACAACATTACCTGATGTGTTACCTGTTATATTACCTGATGTTATGTGTTACCTGTTATATTACATGTGTTACCATTACCTGATGTGTTACCTGTTATATTACCTGATGTGTTACCTGTTATATTACCTGATGTGTTACCTGTTATATTACAACATTACCTGATGTGTTACCTGTTATATTACAACATTACCTGATGTGTTACCTGTTATATTACCTGATGTGTTACCTGTTATATTACCTGATGTGTTACCTGTTATATTACCTGATGTGATACCTGTTATATTACAACATTACCTGATGTGTTACCTGTTATATTACAACATTACCTGATGTGTTACCTGTTATATTACAACATTACCTGATGTGTTACCTGTTATATTACAACATTACCTGATGTGTTACCTGTTATATTACAACATTACCTGATGTGTTACCTGTTATATTACAGCATTACCTGATGTGTTACCTGTTATATTACCTTATATGTTACCTGTTATATTACAACATTACCTGATGTGTTACCTGTTATATTATCTGATGTGTTACCTGTTATATTACCTGATGTGTTACCTGTTATATTACAACATTACCTGTTATATTGATGTGTTACCTGTTATATTACAACATTACCTGATGTGATGTGTTACCTGTTATATTACAACATTACCTGATGTGTTACCTGTTATATTACAACATTACCTGATGTGTTACCTGTTATATTACCTGATGTGTTACCTGTTATATTACAGCATTACCTGATGTGTTACCTGTTATATTACAGCATTACCTGATGTGTTACCTGTTATATTACAACATTACCTGATGTGTTACCTGTTATATTATTACCTGATGTGTTACCATTACCTGATGTGTTACCTGTTATATTACAGCATTACCGATGTGTTACCTGTTATATTACAGCATTACCTGATGTGTTACCTGTTATATTACAAAATTACCTGATGTGTTACCTGTTATGTTACAGCATTACCTAATGTGTTACATGTTATATTACCTGATGTGTTACCTGATATATTACCTGTTATATTACCTGATGTGTTACCTGTTATATTACAACATTACCTGATGTGTTACCTGTATATATTACATGTGTTACCATTACCTGATGTGTTACCTGTTATATTACAACATTACCTTATGTGTTACCTGTTATATTACAACATTACCTGATGTGTTACCTGTTATATTATCTGATGTGCTACCTGTTATATTACAGCATTACCTGATGTGTTACCTGTTATATTACAACATTACCTGATGTGTTACCTGTTATATTACCTGATGTGTTACCTGTTATATATTACTGATGTGTTACCTGTTATATTATTGCCTGATGTGTTACCATTACCTGATGTGTTACCTGTTATATTACAACATTACCTGATGTGTTACCTGTTATATTACAACATTACCTGATGTGTTACATGTTATATTACCTGATGTGTTACCTGTTATATTACAGCATTACCTGATGTGTTACCTGTTATATTACCTTATGTGTTACCTGTTATATTACAGCATTACCTGATGTGTTACCTGTTATATTACAACATTACCATTACCTGATGTGTTACCTGTTATATTACAGCATTACCTGATGTGTTACCTGTTATATTACAACATTACCTGATGTGTTACCTGTTATATTACAACATTACCTGATGTGATACCTGTTATATTACAACATTGCCTGATGTGTTACCTGTTATATTACAGCATTACCTGATGTGTTACCTGTTGTATTACAACATTACCTGATGTGTTACATGTTATATTACAACATTACCTTATGTGTTACCTGTTATATTACAGCATTACCTGATGTGTTACCTGTTGTATTATAACATTACCTGATGTGTTACCTGTTATATTACAACATTACCTGATGTGTTACCTGTTATATTACAACATTACCTGATGTGTTACCTGTTATATTACATCATTACCTGATGTGTTACCTGTTATATTACCTGATGTGTTACCTGTTATATTACAGCATTACCTGATGTGTTACCTGTTATATTACAACATTACCTTATGTGTTACCTGTTATATTACCTGATGTGTTACCTGTTATATTACAACATTACCTGATGTGTTACCTGTTATATTACAACATTACCTGATGTGTTACCTGTTATATTACAGCATTACCTGATGTGTTACCTGTTATATTACAACATTACCTGATGTGTTACCTGTTATATTACAACATTACCTTATGTGTTACCTGTTATATTACAGCATTACCTGATGTGTTACCTGTTATATTACCTGATGTGTTACCTGTTATATTACCTGATGTGTTACCTGTTATATTACCTGATGTGTTACCTGTTATATTACCTGATGTGTTACCTGTTATATTACCTGATGTGTTACCTGTTATATTACAACATTGCCTGATGTGTTACCTGTTATATTACAACATTACCTGATGTGTTACCTGTTATATTACAGCATTACCTGATGTGTTACCTGTTATATTACAACATTACCTGATGTGTTACCTGTTATATTACAACATTACCTGATGTGTTACCTGTTATATTACAGCATTACCTGATGTGTTACCTGTTATATTACAACATTACCTGATGTGTTACCTGTTATATTACAACATTACCTGATGTGTTACCTGTTATATTACAACATTACCTGATGTGTTACCTGTTATATTACCTGATGTGTTACCTGTTATATTACAACATTACCTGATGTGTTACCTGTTATATTACAACATTACCTGATGTGTTACCTGTTATATTATCTGATGTGTTACCTGTTATATTACCTGATGTGTTACCTGTTATATTATCTGATGTGTTACCTGTTATATTACCTGATGTGTTACCTGTTATATTACAGCATTACCTGATGTGTTACCTGTTATATTACAGCATTACCTGATGTGTTACCTGTTATATTACAACATTACCTGATGTGTTACCTGTTATATTACAACATTACCTTATGTGTTACCTGTTATATTACAACATTACCTTATGTGTTACCTGTTATATTACAGCATTACCTGATGTGTTACCTGTTATATTACAGCATTACCTGATGTGTTACCTGTTATATTACAGCATTACCTGATGTGTTACCTGTTATATTACAGCATTACCTGATGTGTTACCTGTTATATTACAACATTACCTGATGTGTTACCTGTTATATTACCTGATGTGTTACCTGTTATATTACAGCATTACCTTATGTGTTACCTGTTATATTACAGCATTACCTGATGTGTTACCTGTTATATTACAGCATTACCAATGTGTTACCTGTTATATTACAGCATTACCTGATGTGTTACCTGTTATATTACAAAATTACCTGATGTGTTACCTGTTATATTACAGCATTATCTAACAGCCTTTGGTTCCACTATATCGGTGCCGCTGATTCTGTATAAAACATTTTGTGTGGCGGAGGACAAAGTCGGACTTGGGGAGCTCATCAATACAATTTTTTTCGTGTCCGGACTCTGTACTCTCCTACAGACCACATTCGGAGTCAGGTAAAGCTTTAAGTATAACGTCAGTACTTTTTAATCTCATGCAATATATAGCATGATGGAAAACTTCACTTAAGATATTATTGACACTTGAAAAGTAAAAAATGCCGGTAAATGTGTTCATCGTCATCCCAGTGGAAATACTGGCCATAAGAGTGACTTTCGGTTTAATGACCTTTCAACCAAGGAAGACAATAATACATTTTCGATTGCCTTTAAACGATTTTTTAAAAGTCGTCGTACATATTAGGAAATTGTCGACCTTGAACTTTAAATAATTATAAGAGTCTATAGGAGCCATATTTCTTTGCATGTCAAACGTTCGTAAAAACGTCCACTTTAGCTTTGAAGTCATCAAAATGCGTATCTTGATCAAATAAGTTTCATAATGGTTCATTTTTCATAAAATCTGTAACCATTTCACTTCCATAGTCACCAATATAATTCAAATAAAAGTTACTGTGTTGTTCCTGCCACGAACTTATGACAACTGTTTCAGAGTAATGTCATGGTTTTACTGACAAAGGAAATTAGGCAACTGGCATAGCCTATGAAAGCCCACTATCATAAACAAATATACAGATAAGTTAAATATTGAATGGATACAGTGATAAATACTTACAGTTTTAGTCCGAAAGTCAATTTGAATAGAATAGAATGATAGAATAGAATGTGTGTTGAACACATTGAGACATTCCCAATTTGAATAGAATAGAATGATAGAATAGAATGAATGTTGAACACATTGAGACATTTCCAATTTGAATAGAATAGAATGATAGAATAGAATGAATGTTGAACACATTGAGACATTTCCAATTTGAATAGAATAAAATGATAGAATAGAATGAATGTTGAACACATTGAGACATTTCCAATTTGAATAGAATAGAATGATAGAATAGAATGAGTGTTGAACACATTGAGACATTCCCAATTTGAATAGAATAGAATGATAGAATAGAATGAATGTTGAACACATTGAGACATTTCCAATTTGAATAGAATAGAATGATAGAATAGAATGAGTGTTGAACACATTGAGACATTCCTAATTTGAATCGAATAGAATGATAGAAAAAAATGAGTGTTGAACACATTGAGACATTCCTAATTTGAATAGAATAGAATGATAGAATAGAATGAGTGTTGAACACATTGAGACATTCCCAATTTGCAAAACATGTATAAATCATGAAAACTGTTAATAAACAAACCGCCATCTTCGGTACTTGTTGTCTCCCTTTCTGCAATGCTGACCTCAGTGCTCGTCCATTTATAGTGTAATAACATCAAACATATTAAAACACGTGATGATTAAAATTTTCCTATTTCGTGGAAGTTAAGTTGATTGGTTGTGTTTTAGACTGCCGATCATACAGGGCGCAACCTTCGCTTTTCTGGTCCCCACCCAGTCCATCCTGGCACTACCGCAGTGGTCCTGTCCCTACACAGAGGCAGAGAAAGGTAAGTCAGTGGTCCTGTCTCTACTCAGAGGTAGAGAAAGGTAGGTCAGTGGCCCTGTCTCTACTCAGAGGTAGAGAAAGGTAGGTCAGTGGTCCTGTCTATACTCAGAGGTAGAGAAAGGTAGGTCAGTGGTCCTGTCTCTACTCAGAGGTAGAGAAAGGTAGGTCAGTGGTCCTGTCTCTACTCAGAGGTAGAGAAATGTAAGTCAGTGGTCCTGTCTCTACTCAGAGGTAGAGAAAGGTAGGTCAGTGGTCCTGTCCCTACACAGAGGTAGAGAAAGGTAGGTCAGTGGTCCTGTCCTTACACAGAGGTAGAGAAAGGTAGGTCAGTGGTCCTGTCCCTACACAGAGGTAGAGAAAGGTAGGTCAATGGTCCTGTCTCTACCCAAAGAGGTCCCTACACAGAGGTAGAGAAAGGTAGGTCAATGGTCCTGTTTCTACACAGAGGTAGAGAAATGTAGGTCAGTGGTCCTGTCTTTACCCAAAGACAGAGAAAAGTAGGTCAGTGGTCCTGTCCCTACACAGAGGTAGAGAAAGGTAGGTCAGTGGTCCTGTCCCTACACAGAGGTAGAGAAAGGATTAAAGTGGTCCTGTCTCTACACAGAGGTAGAGAAAAGTAGGTCAGTGGTCCTGTCTCTACCCAAAGACAGAGAAAGGTAGGTCAGTGGTCCTGTCCCTACACAGAGGTAGAGAAAGGTAGGTCAGTGGTCCTGTCTCTACCCAAAGACAGAGAAAGGTAGGTCAGTGGTCCTGTCCCTACACAGAGGTAGAGAAAGGTAGGTCAGTGGTCCTGTCCCTACACCGAGGTAGAGAAAGGAATGTCAGTGGTCCTGTCTCTACACAGAGGTAGAGAAAAGTAGGTCAGTGGTCCTGTCCCTACACAGAGGTAGAGAAAGGTAGGTCAGTAGTCCTGTCCCTACACAGAGGTAGAGAAAGGTAGGTCAGTGGTCCTGTCCCTACACAGAGGTAGAGAAAGGTAGGTCAGTGGTCCTGTCTCTACCCAAAGACAGAGAAAGGTAGGTCAGTGGTCCTGTCCCTACACAGAGGTAGAGAAAGGTAGGTCAGTGGTCCTGTCTTTACACAGAGGTAGAGAAATGTAGGTCAGTGGTCCTGTCCCTACACAGAGGTAGAGAAAGGTAGGTCAGTGGTCCTGTCCCTACACAGAGGTAGAGAAAGGTAGGTCAGTGGTCCTGTCTCTACACAGAGGTAGAGAAAGGTAGGTCAGTGGTCCTGTCCCTACACAGAGGTAGAGAAAGGTAGGTCAGTGGTCCTGTCCCTACACAGAGGTAGAGAAAGGTAGGTCAGTGGTCCTGTCCCTACACAGAGGTAGAGAAAGGTAGGTCAGTGGTACACAGAGGTAGAGAAAGGTAGGTCTGGTCCTGTTTCTACACAGAGGTAGAGAAAGGTAGGTCAGTGGTCCTGTCCCTACACAGAGGTAGAGTAGAGGTAGGTCAGTGGTCCTGTCCCTACACAGAGGTAGAGAAAGGTAGGTCAGTGGTCCTGTCCCTACACAGAGGTAGAGAAAGGTAGGTCAGTGGTCCTGTCCCTACACAGAGGTAGAGAAAGGTAGGTCAGTGGTCCTGTCCCTACACAGAGGTAGAGAAAGGTAGGTCAGTAGTCCTGTCCCTACACAGAGGTAGAGAAAAGTAGGTCAGTGGTCCTGTCCCTACACAGAGGTAGAGAAAGGTAGGTCAGTGGTCCTGTCCCTACACAGAGGTAGAGAAAGGTAGGTCAGTGGTCCTGTCCCTACACAGAGGTAGAGGAAGGTAGGTCAGTGGTCCTGTCCCTACACAGAGGTAGAGAAAGGTAGGTCAATGGTCCTGTTTCTACACAGAGGTAGAGAAAGGTAGGTCAGTGGTCCTGTCCCTACACAGAGGTAGAGAAAGGTAGGTCAGTGGTCCTGTCCCTACACAGAGGTAGAGAAAGGTAGGTCAATGGTCCTGTCCTTACACAGAGGTAGAGAAAGGTAGGTCAGTGGTCCTGTCCCTACACAGAGGTAGAGAAAGGTAGGTCAGTGGTCCTGTCCCTACACAGAGGTAGAGAAAGGTAGGTCAATGGTCCTGTTTCTACACAGAGGTAGAGAAAGGTAGGTCAATGGTCCTGTTTCTACACAGAGGTAGAGAAATGTAGGTCAGTGGTCCTGTCCCTACACAGAGGTAGAGAAAGGTAGGTCAGTGGTCCTGTCTTTACACAGAGGTAGAGAAATGTAGGTCAGTGGTCCTGTCCCTACACAGATATAGAGAAAGGAAGGTCAGTGGTCCTGTCCCTACACAGAGGTAGAGAAAGGTAAGTCAGTGGTCCTGTCTCTACACAGAGACAGAGAAAGGTAGATCCGTGGTCCTTTCCCTATACCGAGACACATTTCTGGTGAGTTCCTGACACGAATCGTCCCTGTTTGAGCCCAAGGATTTACGTCTTTTCCAACTTAGCCAAAGATGTTAACTCCGTCACCTGGGAGTCCGTATCTAATACTATGTACAAATCACACCGATCCGCTCCTTTCACGCTTGCAATTAGATTTTCCTTACATACAGTACCAGAATCCGTATTATGTTTTTAATCACCTGAGGCGATGTTTCAAGTGACCTATTGCGATCGCCTTTAGTCCGGCGGTGTCCGTCGTGTGTTGTAAACATTTGATATTTTCGATTTCTTCTTAATAATCAAAAGGCCAGAGTGCTGATATTGGTCCTGTAGCATGCTTGGAAAAGGACTTCCAAGTTTGTCAAAATGAACGACCTTGACCCACTTTCAATGCAACAGGAATCAAATATGTTGAAATCTTTAAACAACTTTTTCTTAATAATCAAAAGGCCCAGAATGCTGATATTGGACATGTAGTATTTAGGGATGAAGGGTAACAAAGTTTGGTAAAATGAATGACCGTGACCGGCTTTTAAGGTCAAAGAGGTTAAATATGTTAAAATTACTTCCCAATAAAGAAAAGGCATGGGATGCTGATCTGCTATCAAACAATAAAAAAATATTAGTATCTGTATATCGGTTCTGTTCTGTCTGCTCTAATGCTCGGACTGACCGTCGGACAGGTTCTAAAACCAAAAAATATTAGTATCTATATATCGGTTCTGTTCTGTCTGCTCCAATGCTCGGACTGACCGTCGGACAGGTTCTAAAGCTGTCAAAGACCTGAACACCTCATGTGACCATTAAGGCCCGTTTGCCTCTTTTTTGTTATTATTATTTTTTTTTAGGTCTGAGAAATTTGACTGATCTCCCAGATTATGGCAGTCCCGGACACAGAGAGATATGGCACTCTCGTCTAAGGGAGGTAACTACCCATACTTGGACAATATATACGATTTGTTTAACAGTGTGAAGCCCTCTGACAGCGTTTATACATGTTACGCATGCACATGTTTCACGATTAGTGAGTATTTTGCTGCTTATAATTTTTTTTAAATTTTAATTTGATCAATTTTCAAATTTCAAAGCCGAAGAGAATCACTTCCCAAGTTGATCATTGATTGTCCCAATGTACCTCCTTTTGATATTGTATATTTGTCATTTGTTCAAATTTTCCGACATCCTCAATGGATTTGTTATCCCAATTATTTCGGCTACCATCCATAGGGATTATACACACTTTTCCGGTTGGAGATTTTCGTTTCTTACCTGAGGATGCTCGCTTTCTTATGTTCTAACGCTTTTGGACACTTCATCGAATGACATTTTGCCATGACGTCATTGAATTGCTGCTATGACGTCATATTTTTATCATTAATGTAAAGAACTCTTCCATTTTTGTTTGTTTCAGATCCAGGGAGCCATTATGATTGCCTCGTTGTTCCAGGTAATTATCGGCTTCAGTGGCGCTGTAGGTGTCGTGCTACGCGTGATTGGTCCCCTAGCGGTCACTCCAACAGTCACGTTGATAGGTCTCGCGCTATTCCCGGATGCTGCAAATCTAGCTTCACAGCAGTGGTACATCGCCATAATGTAAGCGGTAACTCATGCCAACTCCACAGTTGAGGAATATCTTTTGAGAATTTCTCAAGCACACGAATAGAAAGTAGATGAATATGCATTAACAGTAACTTGATTACAACTGACATGGATTGATCTTGTTTTCATATGTAATCGGCATCAGAATATACAATGTATATTTGATTAAAAGGAAATAGTCTATTAATAAATTGGTATGTCATCAAAATGTTTTCTATCAAACTATAGTGCCAACAATATCTCCTCTTTCAGGACTATGTTTTTGATAGCATTGTTTTCTCAGTATCTGCGTAACATCACCATACCTGTTTGTCAATACCGGAAGGGGAAAGGATGTGGTGTTTACAAACTACCGATCTTCAAACTTATCCCGGTATGTAAACAAATTCACATGGATCATATTTCCATCGACCGCTGATAGGTTCAACATTTCAGAATAGCTCTTAGAGCAATCAGTTCATGTTTATTCGGTGTCATACGGTGTCGTTCTTATCGTCGATGTTGACATTTATTCTCATCATTTTGTAGGTATTACTGGCGATGGTGGTAGCTTGGGGAATCTGTGCAATTCTGACGGCGGCCGAAGTCTTCCCGTCTGAGAGTTCTGGCTGGGGCTACAAAAGTCGTACTGATACCAAGATGAGTGTTATCGCAGATGCTAAGTGGTTCCGATTCCCTTACCCAGGTAAGACTCGACTCTAAAACTGCAGTAATAGGAAGAAGTACAAATGATTAAAAACACGCTGCCCTCGCCGGGGTTCGGACTAGACACCTATCGGTCTCTAGTCGAACACGCTTGGCTAAAGGAAAATTTTCACTATCCGATACTAGTAAGGCGACCTGTAATCTCATCATTTCTTCCTCCTTCACAAAAACATTGACCTCGAAGACAACAACCCAGGTTCGATATCTCCATGGAAACATCCTAATACCATGTAGCTTCTACCCTTGGAGTGGTCAACGGCACCAAATCTATAGGAAGGAGTAAGGGAAACGCCCTGCCCTAGCGGGGTCCGGACAGGGCGACCGGTCCCCAGCCGGTACCTTACCGCTCGACTAATGGGAATTTCCCACCAGACGAGGTTCATTATTGTCACAAACGAAGGTGAAACATTTTTGGTGTTCGTTAAGATTTTGTTCAATCAACACAGCCACATTAATATATCTAGGTACAGCTGTAACAGGCACTCGGGGATGAAAGCAGAACAAAGATTTATCATGAAACTTATTCCCTTCGAATCCTCAGGTCAGTGGGGAATCCCTACCGTAAGTTTTGCCGGAGTGTTCGGGATGTTAGCAGGTGTCCTGGCGTCCATGATGGAGTCTGTTGGTGATTACTACGCATGTGCACGATTAGCCGGAGCACCGCCCCCACCAGTGCACGCTGTTAATAGGGGTATGTAGTTTAACACGACAGTATATTGTCTCTGAATTGAAGATTCTGCTTCTTCATAGGACTTGTATTTTGCTTCTACGTTATAAGATATACTTACTGAAGATTTCAACTCATGGTTACTTGCTTCCATGTACTTGGTAAACTCGTATGCGACTGCAGTCACGTAAATAACTCCATGGTGTTTCAGGTATCGGTGTGGAAGGAATTGGTTGTATTCTGGCAGGTGCGTGGGGATCTGGGAATGGGACGACGTCATACAGTGAGAATGTCGGGGCGATCGGTATCACTAAGGTAAAAGGATTTGTCTCCAATGTGATCATGCTTAAACAGTCTTGACTTTAACAAAGATTGAATGCTTTAATTCGTTAATATTATTACCTCCCTTTACAGGTGGGCAGTCTACGTGTAGTGCAGGCAGGGGGGATTATCATGATTTTTCTCAGCTGCTTCGGAAAGTTTGGCGCCTTGTTCGTCACCATACCAGACCCAGTTATAGGTGGTGTGTTCATGATCGTATTTGGTAAGTTCACAAGCGTTACACTGAATTATACACTATCCAATGGGTGACGTGGTTCACACCGTGTTATAGATCATTCAAGTGATCTCTCCGGTGGCGCTAATTTTATGAATAATTAGGTCACACTAAGTCACATTGAGTTATGTTTTGAAATTGATAAGGTCACACTGGGTTGCCATAGCTACACTGAGATATATTTGCATTTATAATAAATAGGTCATATCACAAGGTCACAAAGGGTCACAATGGCATTCTAATACAGGACTATACAATTTAATTAAAACATGTTAGGTAGTTTTTGTGGGTACAGGTATGATTCTGTATATTGTTACAGGTATGATTCCGTGTATTGTTACAGGTATGATTCTGTATATTGTTACAGGTATGATTCCGTGTATTGTTACAGGTATGATTCTGTATATTGTTACAGGTATGATTCTGTATATTGTTACAGGTATGATTCTGTATATTGTTACAGGTATGATTCTGTATATTGTTACAGGTAGGATTACAGGTATGATTCTGTATATTGTTACAGGTATGATTCTGTATATTGTTACAGGTATGATTACAGGTATGATTCTGTATATTGTTACAGGTATGATTCTGTATATTGTTACAGGTAGGATTACAGGTATGATTCTGTATATTGTTACAGGTATGATTCTGTATATTGTTACAGGTATGATTCTGTATATTGTTACAGGTATGATTCTGTATATTGTTACAGGTTTGATTCTGTATATTGTTACAGCCATGATTACAGGTATGATTCTGTATATTGTTACAGGTATGATTCTGTATATTGTTACAGGTATGATTACAGGTATGATTCTGTATATTGTTACAGGTATTATTCTGTGTATTGTTACAGGTATGATTACAGGTGTGATTCTGTATATTGTTACAGGTATGATTACAGGTATGATTCTGTATATTGTTACAGGTATGATTACAGGTATGATTCTGTATATTGTTACAGGTATGATTCTGTATATTGTTACAGGTATGATTACAGGTATGATTCTGTATATTGTTACAGGTATGATTACAGGTATGATTCTGTATATTGTTACAGGTATGATTACAGGTATGATTCTGTATATTGTTACAGGTATGATTCTGTATATTGTTACAGGTATGATTCTGTATATTGTTACAGGTAGGATTACAGGTATGATTCTGTATATTGTTACAGGTATGATTCTGTATATTGTTACAGGTATGATTCTGTGTATTGTTAGGTATGATTCTGTATATTGTTACAGGTATGATTACATGTATGATTCTGTATATTGTTACAGGTATGATTCTGTATATTGTTACAGGTATGATTCTGTATATTGTTACAGGTATGATTCTGTATATTGTTACAGGTATGATTCTGTATATTGTTACAGGTATGATTACAGGTATGATTCTGTATATTGTTACAGGTATGATTCTGTATATTGTTACAGGTATGATTCTGTATATTGTTACAGGTATGATTCTGTATATTGTTACAGGTATGATTCTGTATATTGTTACAGGTATGATTCTGTATATTGTTACAGGTAGGATTACATGTATGATTCTGTATATTGTTACAGGTATGATTCTGTATATTGTTACAGGTATGATTCTGTGTATTGTTACAGGTATGATTCTGTATATTGTTACAGGTATGATTACAGGTATGATTCTGTATATTGTTACAGGTATGATTCTGTATATTGTTACAGCCATGATTACAGGTATAATTCTGTATATTGTTACAGGTATGATTACAGGTATGATTCTGTATATTGTTACAGGTCTGTATATTGTTACATTCTGTATATTGTTACAGGTATGATTACAGGTATGATTCTGTATATTGTTACAGGTATGATTCTGTATATTGTTACGGGTATGATTCTGTATATTGTTACAGGTATGATTCTGTATATTGTTACAGGTATGATTCTGTATATTGTTACAGGTATGATTCTGTATATTGTTACAGGTATGATTACAGGTATGATTCTGTATATTGTTACAGGTATGATTCTGTATATTGTTACAGGTAGGATTACAGGTATGATTCTGTATATTGTTACAGGTATGATTCTGTATATTGTTACAGGTATGATTACAGGTATGATTCTGTATATTGTTACAGGTATGATTCTGTATATTGTTACAGGTATGATTCTGTATATTGTTACAGGTATGATTACAGGTATGATTCTGTATATTGTTACAGGTATGATTCTGTATATTGTTACAGGTATGATTCTGTATATTGTTACAGGTATGATTCTGTATATTGTTACAGGTATGATTCTGTATATTGTTACAGGTATGATTCTGTATATTGTTACAGGTATGATTACAGGTATGATTCTGTATATTGTTACAGGTATGATTCTGTATATTGTTACAGGTAGGATTACAGGTATGATTCTGTATATTGTTACAGGTATGATTCTGTATATTGTTACAGGTATGATTACAGGTATGATTCTGTATATTGTTACAGGTATGATTACAGGTATGATTCTGTATATTGTTACAGGTATGATTCTGTATATTGTTACAGGTAGGATTACAGGTATGATTCTGTATATTGTTACAGGTATGATTACAGGTATGATTCTGTATATTGTTACAGGTATGATTCTGTATATTGTTACAGGTAGGATTACAGGTAGGATTACAGGTATGATTCTGTATATTGTTACAGGTATGATTCTGTATATTGTTACAGGTAGGATTACAGGTATGATTCTGTATATTGTTACAGGTATGATTCTGTATATTGTTACAGGTATGATTCTGTATATTGTTACAGGTATGATTCTGTATATTGTTACAGGTATGATTACAGGTATGATTCTGTATATTGTTACAGGTATGATTCTGTATATTGTTACAGGTAGGATTACAGGTATGATTCTGTATATTGTTACAGGTATGATTCTGTATATTGTTACAGGTATGATAACAGCCGTAGGACTTTCCAACCTCCAGTATGTAGACATGAGTTCCTCACGAAACATTTTCATATTGGGCGTGTCCCTGTTTTTCGGACTGGCCTTCCCGCTGTGGATGAAAGCTAATGGCACGGTCATTAACACAGGTACCTGTACACGTCATTCATCTATGGTTAACATCCTTCAGACAGATACACCTATATCCATAATTAAGGTGAAATTTAAGGACATTAGTCAAGCGCCTGTGGGTTTTGACCACGGCTAGTGTTTGATACTATCACAGCTTGGTTTCATGCCTGACCAAGGATACAACCACAGGGAACTGGTGTTCCTACGTGGCCGCGTGACTACATTATGTACTGGAAATTATCTATATACTAGCGGAAAAAAGAAACGCAAGTTGAGTTTTTGTAATATAATTTTTAGACACGTAGACGAAATTTAATTGATTTTGACACTGACCTACCTCCGTGCACTGTGAAAATGTTCTTCAGTCAAAATTCAGCAGACCGTGAGCCCGCTCGACGCTGCATGATTTCAGCAGATTTTCCAACAAAGCTTGCGTCCGGGGTTCTCTGTACCATATTTGCCAGTAAATCATTTCAAATCGGACGTTGGAACAGTACAGATCAGCTACACAACATTTCTTTTCGAAGTGATTATAGAGCGAAATGCCGCGATTGAGTGAAGTCGATAGGGGTAGGGGCATCGCTCTGATAATGCAGGGCATTCACAACGTCATGTAGCTCGCCAATATGGTATAAACGAGACAACAAATATTCCGTTAAATTTGGCGTCTCGGAGCCACAGAGAGATTTGATGATCGTCCCAGGAGCGGAAGCCCGCCCGTTACGTCGCGACGTCAAGATAGTGACGTATGTCTCTCGCACCTACGTAAACGATATCAGAAGATGACGTAGACGTTACGCCAAGTTGCCGGCACTCATGATCGTCCCTATGTTGGTCCGCACAAGCGACACCAACGTCGAATGCTGTGGCTGCTTGCACATGCAATGAATTCGTTTCGTTTGACCCATTGGAGACGCGTGTTGTTAAGTGACCAGTCACACTTCACGCTATACAGCGAATGATAACGTATCTATCGACATTGTGGTGAGCGATATTCTGACGCTTGCGTAACGGAAAGCGACCGATTCAGGGGAGAGTCTAATATGGTATGGACAGAGATCTATGGTATTCTATGATAACAGTCACATATCGGGATCAGGTCTTGAGACCACACGCCCTTCCTCTTATTCAGCAACGTAATCTTTACGTTATAGTAGGACAGAGCAAGGCCCTATGTAGTCAGGGTTTGTCATGACTTTCCGGCTCAAAACAAACTCCTAGTGCTTGATTGGCCACCATACAGTCCAGATTTGTCCTCGATCGATCGTTTAAGAGACGAGCTGGACAGGAAAGTTAGCAAGCGCGTCAACATCCCATATAACGTCACCCAGCTAACGCAAGCACTTATTCAGGAGTGTAATAATATCCATCAAAGGACAATAAACACCTTGATGGGGTCAATGTTAAGGAAAGCTAGAGAAGCGACTGAAGTCAGGGATGGGCACACACGCTACTGATTGGGACCAGGAAACGACGTAGGGTACCCATGTTTTAACGCTGTTCACACAAAAACCGTCTGTGATAGGACTACAAAAATCACCAGAATGTAGAGAAACCAAAACAATAAACTAATCATTAATGAATCATGTGAAATAATAACTATCGAAAATAAACTTCATTTTTAAGCAAGGATACTTTCCATTGGCCTCTCATAGTCAGTTGGTGACCGTCTCCAAATCCATTACGTCCTCATCTATTTACAGCAGTGTACGCGTTGTTTCCTTTGTGTTCAAGCCGTCCAGAACTAAATTTGCAGCTCTTTGAATGATAAAAAAGGTTTTACAATTATGTCTGATTTATTAGCTATTTATATTTTTACGTCCACAGGAAGTGATATTGTGGATCAGATCATCACAGTCCTTCTCAGCACCAGCATGCTTGTGGGCGGAGTGGTCGGCTTTATTTTAGATAACACCATACCTGGTAAATATAATTCATATACAACATCTGATATCGTATCCAATATCCAGTGTTTGTCCATAAAACATTTATATAATGAGGAATCGTATATTCTAAACTCACAGGTACACCGGAAGAGCGAGGCCTGACCAAGTGGCGAAGTGTGGACTCGTCCACTTCCGGTACCACCACTGATATATCAGTTTACGATATACCGTTGATTCAGCCCTTCCTGGATAAAATGTTTTGGCCGAAATACGTCCCGTTCTGTCCCAGGTTTGAATCGTCAGTTTGTTCCTGTCGTCGCCACAAGAACAATCAAGATCAAACACAGAACCATACTCATCAAACAGAGGACAGCGGACTCAAAATGGAAAGCAACGTCGCTTTTGAAAGCGATGACACTCGGCTGTGATAGTTGTTTACGAAGGACGACGTTAGTTACAAACCTCCCGGAGATGATCTACTCATTTTGAAGAACAGCTGTTAACAAACATGGCGTTACAAGCGTCCACCTGAAACAGTTTGCTGATCACACCGTAGTAATAGTTGTTTTCAAAAGGTGTTGTTACAAAAATGTCCGTCTTAATGTTTGTGTGGTCAAAATATGCCACAGCTGTGACAAGCGTCCAGCTAAACGTTTAAGCGATCACAAAGGTATACCAAGTTGTAAACATCTGTAAATAGGACAGTCATAATTGTGTGTGTTATATCTAATTTTTACAGGCTGCGCTAATTACGATATTATCAAAAGGGCGTACCCGATTAATGACTTTCTGATGTGATATTTTAGGCGTTATTTTAAAGTTTGATAGAGTGAATAAGAGCAGCTTTATTTAAAAACAAAACCAAATAACAAAACAGCACTAGAGCTCCGCGTCATCCACAGCCACATCAGTTGAGTGTGTTTATACCTATGTGTGGTAATGTATATATGGTTTCGGTACGACAGTGCTTACCTTTGATTAATACTCATCTTTCTTCAGAACGTGTGTTATTTTATATGTACTTTGTATAACACTGATGTAAAGGATGCTTGATCTGGTGCAAGATTTGTTTATAACCTGTCAGGTAAATAGCTAAAACATGTAAATAGCTAAAACGTGTAAGGTAAATAGCTAAAACTTGTAAATAGTTAAAACCTGTCAGGTAAATAGCTAAAAAATGTCAGGTAAATAGCTAAAACCTGTAAATAGCTAAAACATGTCAGGTAAATAGCTAAAACATGTCAGGTAAATAGCTAAAACATGTAAATAGCTAAAACCTGTCAGGTAAATAGCTAAAACCCGTCAGGTAAATAGCTAAAACCTGTCAGGAAAATAGCTAAAACATGTCAGGTAAATAGCGAAAACCTGTCAGGTAAATAGCTAAAACATGTAAATAGCTAAAACATGTCAGGTAAATAGCTAAAACCTGTCAGGTAAACAGTTAAAACATGTAAATAGCTAAAACATGTCAGATAAATAGCTAAAACATGTCAGATAAATAGCTAAAACATGTCAGCTAAATAGCTAAAACATGTCAGGTAAACAGCGAAAACCTGTCAGGTAAACAGTTAAAACATGTAAATAGCTAAAACATGTCAGATAAATAGCTAATACCTGTCAGGTAAATAGCTAAAACCTGTCAGGTAAACAGTTAAAACATGTAAATAGCTAAAACATGTCAGGAAAATAGCTAAAACCTGTCAGATAAATAGCTAAAACATGTCAGCTAAATAGCTAAAACATGTCAGGTAAACAGCGAAAACCTGTCAGGTAAATAGCAAATACTGTCAGGTAAATAGCTAAAACCTGTCAGGAAAATAGTTAAAACCTGTCAGGTAAATAGTTAAAACCTGTCAGGTAAATAGCTAAAACATGTAAATAGCTAAAACCTGTCAGGTAAATAGCTAAAACATGTAAATAGCTAAAACATGTCAGGTAAATAGCGATAACCTGTCAGGAAAATAGTTAAAACCTGTCAGGTAAATAGTTAAAACATGTAAATAGCTAAAACATGTCAGGTAAATAGCGATAACCTGTCAGGTAAATAGCTAAAACATGTCAGGTAAATAGTTAAAACATGTCAGGTAAACAGCGAAAACCTGTCAGGTAAATAGCTAAACCTGTAAATAGCGAAAACATGTCAGGTAAATAGCAAATACTGTCAGGTAAATAGCTAAAACCTGTCAGGTAAATAGTTAAAACATGTAAATAGCTAAAACCTGTCAGGAAAATAGCTAAAACCTGTCAGATAAATAGCTAAAACATGTCAGCTAAATAGCGATAACCTGTCAGGTAAATAGCTAAAACATGTCAGGTAAATAGCTAAAACATGTAAATAGCTAAAACATGTCAGGTAAATAGCGATAACCTGTCAGTTAAATAGCTAAAACATGTCAGGTAAATAGCTATAACCTGTCAGGTAAATAGCTAAAACCTGTCAGGTAAATAGCTAAAACATGTAAATAGCTAAAACATGTCAGGTAAATAGCGATAACCTGTCAGTTAAATAGCTAAAACATGTCAGGTAAATAGCTAAAACATGTCAGGAAAATAGTTAAAACCTATCAGGTAAATAGCTAAAACATGTAAATAGCTAAAACCTGTCAGGTAAATAGCGAAAACCTGTCAGGAAAATAGTTAAAACATGTAAATAGCTAAAACCTGTCAGGAAAATAGCTAAAACATGTCAGGTAAATAGCTAAAACCTGTCAGGTAAACAGCGAAAACCTTTCAGGTAAATAGCTAATACCTGTCAGGTAAATAGCTAAAACATGTAAATAGCTAAAACATGTAAATAGCTAAAACATGTCAGGTAAATAGCTAATACCTGTCAGGTAAATAGCTAAAACATGTCAGGTAAATAGCTAAAACCTGTCAGGTAAACAGGTTCTATATGAGTGGGAAAAGTTTTACGACTAAGATTTTACATCTGTGTAGTAACAAATTTCGCTTGGTTTACGTTAAGTTTGACCAGTCATTGAAATAGCGACATTGTAGTCCGACTCATAATAACCTATTGTCTTTATTTAGTTAACTAAAAAGTCTTATATCTTTTTCACAAGACGTTTGCATTTTTAAATTCTTAAAAAATTATTATTATTATCATTTTGTGATTAACACGTAAAAGAGGGGAAAGTGGTATTATTACAAATTTAACTAACATTCGGTGTTCAAGTCAACTACGTATGAATTTATAATATTTCCTAGAATTGACCTCTGACGTGACCTCTTAGGCAGTGTCGTTAAATGTTCAAAAGTAGCTAATATGAACATCAAATTTTAATTACATTGCCTTATTACTAAAGACATGCTATTAGCAATTACCATATAATATATACAGAAGAATGGGTGTTATATGGATCTTCCGGTTTTATCTAAATATCCTTCCTGAGATCTTAAAAGATTCATCCAAATTATGCATATAGCGTGATATTTTTTCTTGAATAAAGTGACGAAAAGAACATTAGTGAATATCTGAAAACTGTGTATTGAAATTGTCGTACTTGTATATCATTACAAAAGACGAGATTCTTCAAGTGATCTTATTTTTTTTTTCCAAGCTATCATTATGAGAAAGATAATGACAGTAGATTATGGTGTAATATTACATTGTAGATATGAAACCTGTCCTTAGGACACCGGCAAAGTGTATTTCTTCAATAAATAGATTACATTTTGATAAGGTGATAAAAAGATATTAAATTCTCCCTCAACAATAACATTGAGACTCGTGTTCAGGGTTTTAGTACTTTTGTGGCTTAAATCTTATAGCCCTTATCATTCTATCAACGGTTTATTGTCAGTATGACGTCACGGTTTGTTTGAACATTGGCTCAATAAAACCTGTGTGAAATAAGCGACCCGGGACTGAATTGACATGCAACTTGACGGATTCAGTTCGTGCGACTTCGATCCAAAGCATCTCTTGGTGAAGTGAACTCTGATTTGTATAAACAGCGGGTCTAGTATCTCTATGGACATAGGACTTGACCCAGTAAGCAATCTCGGAATAATTTGGGTTTAGATGTAATATTTTACTGATTATGTACAAAACTCTCTTACGTCACTTACTTCCATGACAAACAAACTGTCCGTCAGCTATGACGCCTTAATGGTTACCTCGGACAGACGTCGTGGTAAATCTTCACTCAAATACAACGGGAATCTATTAAAAAGGTTTACTTCAACTCATCGCTTTTTATTCTATATAAATTGAAATATAAATAATGCTATTTTGCTGTTATCTTTAAAAACAATTTCTCGAATATACAAGTGATTTACTCATATTGTAAAATATGATGACGTAATCTCGCTGCCTGGTGGCTCCATATTCATTGCCGGGCCATGTGTTAACGACGCTTGGGAGATTCAGATATAAGTACATTAAATACGCATCGTTTAAGAGTGAACGCAATGACATCAATAGTATAAGATACAATGACATCAATAGTATAAGATACAATGACATCAATAGTATAAGATACAATGACATCAATAGTATAAGATACAATGACATCAATAGTATAAGATACAATGACATCAATAGTATAAGATACAATGACATCAATAGTATAAGATACAATGACATCAATAGTGTAAGATACAATGACATCAATAGTATAAGATACAATGACATCAATAGTATAAGATACAATGACATCAATGACATCAATAGTATAAGATAATAGTATAAGATACAATGACATCAATAGTATAAGATACAATGACATCAATAGTATAAGATACAATGACATCAATAGTATAAGATACAATGACATCAATAGTATAAGATACAATGACATCAATAGTATAAGATACAAAGAGATATGACGTGTAACCGCCTCCTTCCATCTCAATATGACCAACAACATAATGCAAAAAATATCCATTTCGATGATTTCGGAAATGCTAATTATCAGAAAAAATGGATATTTGTCATGTGTTATTTTTATAGATCGACAGAGTTGTACCCATAGGCAATATACAGTGGCGTAGCAAATGTTTTGTAGCAGTTTATGCTTTCAAGAGAGGGCCCAGCGGCGAACTCACAGTTAAAAAAGTCAGAAAAAATATCTTAATGGGATTCAAGTGTATGCTTAAGCATACAAACATTCAATATTGCTCCGCCACTGATATACAATAAAACATGAGTGTTTTCCCGGCTTTAAAGGTAATTTTGACACACAGCGAACATATGTACCAACTTTTAGGCAACTGAACCTAATCTAGGGTCAGATGTAACTTGAATCCTGTCAACGAACATTGGAACCGAAAATCTTAAAAATCAAATTGGATATAAAATGTTTATATCAAATATACAATTAAAAGTGTCTAGCGCAGACGGTAAAAACGTTACTCCCTCGTTAGTCGAGTTTTCATAGTGTCGCACGTTCGATCACAGCTAATGACATGATCCTATTATCATTATGTCCCAGGATCGAAAGATTTGTTTGTCTATCTGTTGTCAACTTTAACCTTGCACATCAATAGTGCACCATAAGAGGTAGGGCTTTCACACAATGTGCGCACGATGTCTGCACGATGTGCGCACGATAGGAAAATTGGAGGAAATAAGCTATCGCATATTTGTGCCACGTTGTGCGGTTCTATCGTGGTTGATATAAATTTAGAAATGACTTGTAAATAAGTGTGGGAAAGGGTTTATTGATTTTCTAAATAGATAAAAATACAATTATGTATATTTCCTAATTAAGCCGTTAATATATAGGCGGACACTTGAAGGTTTGTCACACATACACTGATTAGTGAGATACACTCGTAATTTTAAGTGTTTTGTTTACAAAGAGCCACACAAGACCAGCCACATTATCTATACAATATGTATGTAAACATTAAATAAACGTCTCTCCATGTCATAGCAATGAATCATTTGTTACTCTGGCAACCCAGTCGGAACGGATCCGGATCTGCCACGTACATACCTGTATACAGGTAAACTGCCCGAGTCATCACTACTCTACACTGTCTGAGGTGTGAAACTATTTAAAAATGACTTTTATGATCACCGACCAGTTTTGATGTTTATGTGAGCGATATTTAGTAATAACTTCACAATTTTTCCTCTAATTTTTAATCCGTAATATTACCCAACAATTTTGCCAAACCGCACAACATGTGCGATCCTATCGAACAGTTGTACGCACGATACTATCATTTGGTGCGTTTTGGCGTTACCTTAAGTGTACTTGAACTGTTTGTTCCTTTTCGGTTATACAAAAATTTGTGACTTTGTAAAAAATTATCACCCCACTTTAAACATAAGTGTTACACAAAGTGTACATGTAATTATCGCCATCTGACGTGCGCAAACTTGCCATTCAAATGATTTCTACTTAATAACCAAAAGGTCCGGGTCGCAGATATTGGGTCTGTAGAATGATGGGATAAAGGACTGCCTTGTTTGTTAAAATGAACGAACTTAGCATATTTTTAAGGTCACAGGAGTCAAATATGTTAAAATCTTAAAACAGCTTCTTCCCAATAACCAAAAAGCTCAGGGTGCTGATAATGGTTGTAATGTTGGGATGGAGAGCTACCAATTGTACTTAGATAAATGACCTTGACCTCCTTTCAATGTCACAGGTGTTAAATATTTCAAAATCTTTGAACGACTTCTTCTCAATAACCAAAAAGACCCTGAGTGCTTCTACGTCTTTAGCTGTTTTCTCTGGGTTATCAAAAATCAATTCTATTTATTTATATTTTTCTCAAACGAAATTCATGTCCATATTATACCAATAGATAAGTATTTGTCGATTTGTCCCCACAGTGAATGCAGCTCATACTCGGCTTGATATACGCTGTATAGACTCGATTCTAGCCTTAACTGTTCTCCGCTAGGGTGCGCTTTTGATGTTGGAATATTTATAGGTCAGACTACTTTCAAACTAATCGACAGATTTTAAAGTGACATTCCGTTCAGCTGAAATTTCCAGCGACTCATTTATTCATGGCTGGTTAGCTCTGCAGGCAGTTGTGATCTGTTTACATTTCACACATAATGCAATATAAAGTGCTGACTATAGCATGTGTTAAATAACTTTGTCAACTCAGGATCGTACTCAGTAAGCCAATATTACCAAGGAGAAGGGCAAGTGTATGAACCAAGAACACTGGTATGACATAGTAATCATGTCAAATCAACGGACGACACGCACACCTGAAAAGAATGACACAGATTAATAACAACCTCCGGATTCTACACCTGTATGACGTCATTCTCAAAGGCTTCATCTATACATGATTACATTCATTGGGATGCTAGGGTTTCTTTGTGCACCGTGCACTTTGTCCATCTTTTATTTCTGTAGAACTAGGTCACCTTCAACATAACCGTAAATCTGACACGTATGGAATCTGACAAGTATCATACAACAAGCAACACACGTATGGAATATGACAAGTATCATACAACAAGCAACACATGTATGGAATATGACAAATATTATACAACAAGCAACACACGTATGGAATCTGACAAGTATCATACAACAAGCAACACACGTATGGAATATGACAAGTATCATACAACAAGCAACACATGTATGGAATATGACAAATATTATACAACAAGCAACACACGTATGGAATCTGACAAGTATCATACAACAAGCAACACACGTATGGAATATGACAAGTATCATACAACAAGCAACACATGTATGGAATATGACAAATATTATACAACAAGCAACACACGTATGGAATCTGACAAGTATCATACAACAAGCAACACACGTATGGAATCTGACAAGTATCATACAACAAGCAACATATGTACGGAATCTGACAAGTATCATACAACAAGCAACACATGTATGGAATATGACAAATATTATACAACAAGCAACACACGTATGGAATCTGACAAGTATCATACAACAAGCAACACACGTATGGAATCTGACAAATATCATACAACAAGCAACACACGTATGGAATCTGACAAATATTATACAACAAGCAACACATGTATGGAATCTGACAAGTATCATACAACAAGCAACACACGTATGGAATCTGACAAGTATCATACAACAAGCAACACACGTATGGAATATGACAAGTATCATACAACAAGCAACACATGTATGGAATCTGACAAGTATCATACAACAAGCAACACACGTATGGAATCTGACAAGTATCATACAACAAGCAACACACGTATGGAATCTGACAAATATCATATAACAAGCAACACATGTATGGAATCTGACAAGTATCATACAACAAGCAACACACGTATGGAATCTGACAAGTATCATACAACAAGCAACACACGTATGGAATCTGACAAGTATCATACAACAAGCAACACACGTATGTAATCTGACAAGTATCATACAACAAGCAACACACGTATGGAATCTGACAAGTATCATACAACTAGCAACACACGTATGGAATCTGACAAGTATCACACAACAAGCAACACACGTATGGAATATGACAAGTATCATACAACAAGCAACACACGTATGGAATCTGACAAATATTATACAACAAGCAACATATGTATGGAATCTGACAAGAATCATACAACAAGCAACACACGTATGGAATCTGACAAATATTATACAACTAGCAACATATGTATGGAATCTGACAAGTATCATACAACAAGCAACACACGTATGGAATCTGACAAATATTATACAACAAGCAACATATGTACGGAATCTGACAAGTATCATACAACAAGCAAAACACGTATGGGATATGACAAGTATCATACAACAAGCAACACACGTATGGAATCTCACAAGTGTCATACAACTAGCAACACACGTATGGAATCTGACAAGTATCATACAACAAGCAACACACGTATGTAATCTGACAAGTATCATACAACAAGCAACACACGTATGGAATCTGACAAGTATCATACAACAAGCAACACACGTATGGAATATGACAAGTATCATACAACAAGCAACACATGTATGGAATATGACAAATATTATACAACAAGCAACACACGTATGGAATCTGACAAGTATCATACAACAAGCAACACACGTATGGAATCTGACAAGTATCATACAACAAGCAACACACGTATGTAATCTGACAAGTATCATACAACAAACAACACACGTATGGAATCTGACAAGTATCATACAACAAACAACACACGTATGGAATCTGACAAGTATCATACAACAAGCAACACACGTATGGAATCTGACAAATATTATACAACAAGCAACACATGTATGGAATCTGACAAGTATCATACAACAAGCAACACACGTATGGAATCTGACAAGTATCAAACAACAAGCAAAACACGTATGGAATCTGACAAGTATCATACAACAAGCAAAACACGTATGGAATCTGACAAGTATCATACAACAAGCAACACACGTATGGAATCTGACAAGTATCATACAACTAGCAACACACGTATGGAATATGACAAGTATCATACAACAAACAACACACGTATGGAATCTGACAAGTATCATACAACAAGCAACACACGTATGAAATCTGACAAGTATCATACAACAAGCAACACACGTATGGAATCTGACAAGTATCATACAACAAGCAACACACGTATGGAATCTGACAAGTATCATACAACAAACAACACACGTATGGAATATGACAAATATTATACAACAAGCAACACACGTATGAAATCTGACAAGTATCATACAACAAGCAACACACGTATGGAATCTGACAAGTATCATACAACAAGCAACACACGTATGGAATCTGACAAGTATCATACAACAAGCAACACACGTATGGAATCTGACAAGCATCATACAACAACAACACACGTATGGAATCTGACAAATATTATACAACAAGCAACATATGTATGGAATCTGACAAGTATCATACAACTAGCAACACACGTATGGAATCTGACAAATATTATACAACAAGCAACATATGTATGGAATCTGACAAGTATCATACAACAAGCAACACATGTATGGAATCTGACAAGCATCATACAACAAGCAACATATGTATGGAATCTGACAAGTATCATACAACAAGCAACACACGTATGGAATCTGACAAGTATCATACAACAAGCAACACACGTATGGAATCTGACAAATATTATACAACTAGCAACATATGTATGGAATCTGACAAGTATCATACAACAAGCAACACACGTATGGAATCTGACAAATATTATACAACAAGCAACATATGTACGGAATCTGACAAGTATCATACAACAAGCAAAACACGTATGGAATATGACAAGTATCATACAACAAGCAACACACGTATGGAATCTCACAAGTGTCATACAACTAGCAACACACGTATGGAATCTGACAAGTATCATACAACAAGCAACATATGTATGGAATCTGACAAGTATCATACAACAAGCAACACACGTATGGAATCTGACAAGTATCATACAACAAGCAACACACGTATGGAATCTGACAAGCATCATACAACAAGCAACACACGTATGGAATCTGACAAATATTATACAACAAGCAACATATGTATGGAATCTGACAAGTATCATACAACAAGCAACACACGTATGGAATCTGACAAGTATCATACAACAAGCAACACACGTATGGAATCTGACAAGCATCATACAACAAGCAACACACGTATGGAATCTGACAAATATTATACAACAAGCAACATATGTATGGAATCTGACAAGTATCATACAACAAGCAACACACGTATGGAATCTGACAAGTATCATACAACAAGCAACACACGTATGGAATCTGACAAGTATCATACAACAAGCAACACACGTATGGAATCTGAAAAGTATCATACAACAAGCAACATACGTATGGAATCTGACAAGTATCATACAACTAGCAACACACGTATGGAATCTGACAAGTATCATACAACTAGCAACACACGTATGGAATCTGAAAAGTATCATACAACAAGCAACACACGTATGGAATCTGACAAGTATCATACAACTAGCAACACACGTATGGAATCTGACAAGTATCATACAACTAGCAACACACGTATGGAATCTGACAAGTATCATACAACTAGCAACACACGTATGGAATCTGACAAGTATCAAACAACTAGCAACACACGTTGGCTGGTTAATTATTCCTATTTTTTTATAAGTAAAAATGCTTCTATCTTATGCGATATTGCACACTCTAAATCCGAAACTCTGACTGATCGCTATTGTCATTTAAAATGTGCAGCATTATTCATACACAACATTTTCCTAAGTAACGTTTTTGTTCACAAGGCATATATACAAGGTTTTAGTGTTGACAGTTTTAGTTACGGATTTAGAAAGTCAACTCCGTCTATTCGGTAATTTTCAACAACATGTGTTTGTTTGATACTCTAGAACGACACAAGAACACAAATAACACTAGGGCGATTCACCACTGTATCTGACAGTCTGTATGTGTTTATAATATACTGACTTAATTCAAAGTTGTTATAAGTAACTGTTAAATATATAGACTTGTATTTATTTCCGAATTCAATGTGTACATGTAGCATATCACTCTAATAACCGGTCGTGGGGATATAATTAGCTTAAATATATCAGGCTTAGGGGTTACTCAGGGATCATTCCGCAATAACACTATACTTCACACTTTCAGTAACTCCATGATACTAAATTAGGATATTTTCAGTCTATTCAGACTTCAAAACCATTACATGTACCTGTAAGGTAGAGAATATACTTGTGACATATATGTTAACATTTCAATGCTCGTTATTCCATAAAAACATCTCATTAAACCTTTCAATAAACAAATGTTGAAGATTCAACTTAAATCAAATAAAATAGAATCATAAACAGATATCGAGGTCTGTATGGAGAAACGAAAAGGGGAATATTTCTTTTATTACGCAGGTAGACTTGACAACCTTTTGTAGGAAAAATGTAACCAGGTATTTCTGGGAACTTCCTCTTAGTTTTTATGTCGATAGCTTGACAAAACAGCTATAAAAGTAAACAGTTTTAGAACATTACGTTTCTGGATACAAGCTATAATATTAAAGCTTTATGTCATAGCTGACTTTCCATATCCCAAAACAATTCTTACTGGCTATCGTTCTCAGTTACATCTATACATCAACGTATACATGTAGATGTCTTTGTCGTTTTGTGAATTTACCAAAGGTCATGATAGTGTACTTATTAGGTCACAACTATTTCTAGTTCGTCAGAGTTATATCTGGATAACAATATTCACTACTGACCAGTAGAAGCTTCGATAATTAATTGTTTCGGTTTTAAATGTGACCACTTTATAACAGGAACAGATGCCCCTTGTACGTTAAATTGTCTTAGAATCAATCACAGTAAGTCTAGAAATAACAGTTTTATTTGAGTGTTTCTTCATCAGCTTTTATCATGTAGGGATTATGCATCGTGGTTTCAGTAACCTTTATTTAACTTCCATTTGACTAAAACTAGAGCGGAAAGCCCGGGGTACACATGTGGATGTCAGACAGAACTGACGATCATTTGCCAACTTCATTCTCGAAGACGGCACCCCTACAAACTTAAAGCTCCACCTTCCTAGTGTAACGACCTTCGTTGCTTAAATTAAAGAGTTGTGTTCAGTGATGCGTAACTAGCTGACAGGTAACTCGTGTGTAATGATCGACTGTACACTGTATGTGTGTGAATGGGAGAAAGACTTTCAAAGATCTGGACACGACTCGAATGATAGTTCTTTGTGCTCAGATTGACCGTTAAGTGATTTTTCTGAATTATAACTCCGATCAGACAAAAAGACTGGACGATGGCAGACATCCAGAGGAAACACGACGACGTAAGTATCTCGTACAGACACCGTGTTGTATTAACGTTTTTTATACGTTAAGTTAACGTACATGTACATCTATTTATATATCTAGCGTAGCGGTCCTGGAAATAGACGTGTAAAACACAAGTTGTTATCTGATAATATATCAGGCACATTCAATAAATCATACTTGTACTTCTTTCAAAACACAAATGAAAAAGTAAATAGTGAGATATATACTGGGTAGGGAGGGGTATACAGGGTAGGGAAGTGTATACTAGGTAGAAAGGGGTATACAGGTTATGGAGGGGTATACTGGGTAGGGATATACTGGGTAGGGAGGGGTATACTGCGTAGGGAAGGGTATACTAGGTAGGATGGGGTATACAGGTTAGGGAGGGGTATACTGGGTAGGGAAGTGTATACTAGGTAGGATGGGGTATACAGGGTAGGGAGGGGTATACTGGGTAGGGAGGGGTATACTGGGTGGGGAGGGGTATACTGGGTAGGAAGGGGTATACAGGTTAGGGAGGGGTATACTGGGTAGGGAGGGGTATACTGGGTAGGGAAGGGTATACTAGGTAGGGAGGGGTATACTGGGTAGGGAGGGGTATACTGGGTAGGGAAGGGTATACTAGGTAGGGAGGGGTATACTGGGTAGGGAGGGGTATACTGGGTAGGGAAGTGTATACTAGGTAGGATGGGGTATACAGGTTAGGGAGGGGTATACTGGGTAGGGAGGGGTATACTGGGTGGGGAGGGGTATACTGGGTAGGAAGGGGTATACAGGTTAGGGAGGGGTATACTGGGTAGGGAGGGGTATACTGGGTAGGGAAGGGTATACTAGGTAGGATGGGGTATACAGCTTAGGGAGGGGTATACTGGGTAGGGAGGGGTATACTGGGTAGGAAGGGGTATACAGGTTAGGGAGGGGTATACTGGGTAGGGAGGGGTATACTGGGTAGGGAAGGGTATACTGGGTAGGGAGGGGTATACTGGGTAGGGAAGGATATACAGGTTAGTGAGGGGTATACTGGGTAGGGAAGGGTATACTGGGTAGGAAGGGGTATACTGGGTAGGGAAGGGTATACTGGGTAGGGAGGGGTATACTGGGTAGGGAGGGGTATACTGGGTAGGGAGGGGTATAGTGGGTAGGGAGGGGTATACTGGGTAGGGAGGGGTATAGTGGGTAGGAAGGGGTAAACTGGGTAGGGAGGGGTATACAGGTTAGTGAGGGGTATACTGGGTAGGGAAGGGTATACTGGGTAGGGAGGGGTAAACTGGGTAGGGAGGGGTATAGTGGGTAGGGAGGGGTAAACTGGGTAGGAAAGAGTATACTGGGTAGGGAGGGGTATAATGGGTAGGGGTACACTGGGTAGGGAGGGGTAAACTGGGTAGGGAAGAGTATACTGGGTAGGGAGGGGTATACTGCGTAGCGAGAGGTATACTGGTTAGGGAGGGGTATACTGAGTAGGGAGGGATATACTGGTTAGAGGTAAACTTGATAGGAGGGGTTTACTGGGTGGAGAGGGGTAAACTATTTAGGGAGGAGTATACTGGGTAGGGTGGGGCATACTTGGTAGGGTGGGGTATACTGGGTAGGGAGGGGTATACAGAGTAGGGAGGGATATACTGGGTAGGGAGGGGTATACAGAGTAGGGAGGGATATACTGGGTAGGGAGGGGTATACAGAGTAGGGAGGGATATACAGAGTAGGGAGGGATATACTGTTTAGGGAGGGGAATACTGAGTAGGGAGGGATATACTGGGTAGGGAGGGGTATACTGGGTAGGGAGGGGTATACTGGGTTAGGGAGGGGTAAACTATGTAGGGAGGTGTATACTGGGTAGGATGGGGTATACTGGGTAGGGAGAGGTATACTGGGTTGGGAGGGATATACTGGGATGGGAGGGATATACTGGGTAGGAAGGGGTATACTGGGTAGGGAGGGGTTTACAGGGTAGGAAGGGGTATACAGGGTAGGGAGGGATATACTGGGTAGGAAGGGGTATACTGGGTAGGGAGGGGTATACAGGGTAGGAAGGGGTATACAGGATAGGGAGGGGTAGTATGGGTAGGGAGAAATATACTGTGTAGGGAGGGGTATACTGGGTAGAGAGGGGTATACTGGGTAGGGAGGGGTATACTTGGTAGGGAGGGGTATACAGGGTAGGGAGGGATATACTGGGTAGGGAGGAGTATACTTGGTAGGGAGGGGTATACAGGGTAGGGAGGGATATACAGGGTAGGAAGGGGTATACTGGGTAGGGAGGGGTAAACTGGGTAGGGAGGGGTATACTGGGTAGGGATATACTGTGTAGGGAGGGGTATACTGGGTAAGGAGGGGTATACTAGGTAGATAGAAGTATGCTAGGTAGGGAGGAGTTTACTGGGTTTTGATAAGTATACTGATTAGGGAGTGGTATAATAGGCATGGATGAGTATAGAAAGTCTGGATGAATTGACTTTTTAAAAGATTTACCAGTCATTACCTGCTGTCACGTGCCTGACAAGTACTCACCAACCGTACCCAAGGTGAAGGACGAGTTCACTGATGTACTGACGTATAAACTGTATTTTGTGGACTGTAATAATTATATGTAGATATGGAATTCGGGGAGAGTAAGAGAAGGAGAAAAAGCAGTAGCGGGTCATGTAGCAAGGGTACTCCTAGTGAGTCTACCGTAAGTGTTCTCTGATCTGTTGGCTGTCCGCCCCCACCCGGTCATGTAGCAAGGGTACTCCTAGTGAGTCTACCGTAAGTGTTCTCCTCTGATCTGTTGGCTGTCCGCCCCCACCCGGTCATGTAGCAAGGGTACTCATAGTGAGTCTACCGTAAGTGTTCTCCTCTGATCTGTTGGCTGTCCGCCACCACCCGGTCATGTAGCAAGGGTACTCATAGTGAGTCTACCGTAAGTGTTCTCCTCTGATCTGTTGGCTGTCCGCCCCCACCCGGTCATGTAGCAAGGGTACTCATAGTGAGTCTACCGTAAGTGTTCTCCTCTGATCTGTTGGCTGTCCGCCCCCACCCGGTCATGAAACAATGGTACTCATAGTGAGTCTACCATAAGTGTACCCTCTGATCTGCTGGCTGTCCGCCCCCACCCGGTCATGAAACAATGGTACTCATAGTGAGTCTACCATAAGTGTACCCTCTGATCTGCTGGCTGTCCGCCCCCACCTTGTCACCTAATAAGGGTACTCATAGTGAGTCTACGGTAAGTGTTCTCTGATCTGTCCGCCCGGTACGATTTCCTGCTCTAATACCATGTAACGAATATTTTACCCGTTGTCTGTATAATGTGACAGGTTTTGTGTCCGTTAAGAGGCCCATGTAACGACTATTTTGCAAGTTGTTAGTATAATGTGCCCGTTGTGGTGTCCGGCTGTAGCCCTATGTAACGACCAGTTTGCCTGTTGTCAGTATAATGTGACCGGATTAGTGTCCTTTTAGAGGCCCATGTAACGACTATTTTGCAAGTTGTTAGTATAATGTGCTCGGTGTGGTGTCCGGCTGGAGGCCCATGTAACGACTAGTTTGCCCGTTGTCAGTATAATGTGTCCGGTTTTGTGTCCATTAAGAGGCCCATGTAACGACTAGTTTGCCCGTTGTCAGTATAATGTGCCCGTTGTGGTGTCCGGCTGTAGCCCTATGTAACGACCAGTTTGCCTGTTGTCAGTATAATGTGCTCGGTGTGGTGTCCGGCTGTAGCCCTATGTAACGACTAGTTTGCTTGTTGTCAGTATAATGTGCCCGGTGTGGTGTCCGGCTGTAGCCCTATGTAACGACTAGTTTGCCTGTTGTCAGTATAATGTGCCCGGTGTGGTTTCCAGCTGTAACCCTATGTAACGACTAGTTTGCTTGTTGTCAGTATAATGTGACCGGTGTCCGGCTGTAGCCTTATGTAACGACTAGTTTGCCTGTTGTCAGTATAATGTGCCCGGTGAATGTAACGACTAGTTTGCCTGTTGTCAGTATAATGTGCCCGGTGTGGTTTGCAGCTGTAACCCTATGTAACGACTAGTTTGCCTGTTGTCAGTATAATGTGCCCGGTGTGGTGTCCGGCTGTAGCTCTATGTAACGACTAGTTTGCCTGTTGTCAGTATAATGTGCACGGTGTATGTAACGACCAGTTTGCCTGTTGTCAGTATAATGTGCCCGGTGTGGTGTCCGGCTGTAGCCCTATGTAACGACTAGTTTGCCTGTTGTCAGTATCATGTTCCCGGTGTGGTTTCCGGCTGTAGCCCTATGTAACGACTAGTTTGCCTGTTGTCAGTATAATGTGCCCGGTGAATGTAACGACTAGTTTGCCTGTTGTCAGTATAATATGCCCGGTGTGGTGCCCGGCTGTAGCCCTATGTAACGACTAGTTTGCCTGTTGTCAGTATAATGTGCTCGGTGTGGTGTCCGGCTGTAGCCCTATGTAACGATTAGTTTGCCTGTTGTCAGTATAATGTGCCCGGTGAATGTAACGACTAGTTTGCCTGTTGTCAGTATAATGTGCCCGGTGTGGTGTCCGGCTGTAGCCCTATGTAACGACTAGTTTGCTTGTTGTCAGTATAATGTGCCCGGTGTGGTTTCCTGCTGTAGCCCTTTGTAATGACCAGTTTGCTTGTCAGTATAATGTACCCGGTGTGGTTTCCTGCTGTAGACCTATGTAACGACTAGTTTGCTTGTTGTCAGTATAATGTGCCCGGTATGGTGCCCGGCTGTAGTCTATATAACGACTAGTTTGCTTGTTGTCAGTATAATGTGCCCGGTATATGTAACGACTAGTTTGCCTGTTGTCAGTATAATGTGCCCGGTGTGGTGTCCGGCTGTAGCCCTATGTAACGACTAGTTTGTTTTTTGTCAGTATAATGTGCCCGGTGTGGTGTCCGGCTGTAGCCCTATGTAACGACTGGTTTGCCTGTTGTCAGTATAATGTGCCCGGTGTGGTGTCCGGCTGTAGCCCTATGTAACGACTAGTTTGCCTGTTGTCAGTATAATGTGCCCGGTATATGTAACGACTAGTTTCCCTGTTTTCAGTATAATGTGCCCGGTGTCGTGTCCGGCTGTAGCCCTATGTAACGACTAGCTTGCTTTTTGTCAGTATAATGTGCCCGGTGTGGTGTCCGGCTGTAGCCCTATGTAACGACTGGTTTGCCTGTTGTCAGTATAATGTGCCCGGTGTGGTGTCCGGCTGTAGCCCTATGTAACGACTGGTTTGCCTGTTGTCAGTATAATGTGCCCGGTGTGGTGTCCGGCTGTAGCCCTATGTAACGACTAGTTTGCCTGTTGTCAGTATAATGTGCCCGGTATATGTAAGGACTAGTTTGCTTTTTGTCAGTATAATGTGCCCGGTGTGGTGTCCGGCTGTAGCCCTATGTAACGACTGGTTTGCCTGTTGTCAGTATAATGTGCCCGGTGAATGTAACGACTAGTTTGCCTGTTGTCAGTATAATGTGGCCGGTGTGGTGTCCGGCTGTAGCCCTATGTAACGACTAGTTTGCCTGTTGTCAGTATAATGTGCCCGGTGAATGTAACGACTAGTTTGCCTGTTGTCAGTATAATGTGGCCGGTGTGGTGTCCGGCTGTAGCCCTATGTAACGACTAGTTTGCTTATTGTCAGTATAATGTGCCCGGTGTGGTGTCCGGCTGTAGCCCTATGTAACAACTAGTTTGCCTGTTGTCAGTATAATGTGCTCTGTGTGGTGTCCGGCTGTAGCCCTATGTAACGACTAGTTTGCCTGTTGTCAGTATAATGTGCTCGGTGTGGTGTCCGGCTGTAGCCCTATGTAATGACTAGTTTGCCTGTTGTCAGTATAATGTGCTCGTTGTGGTGTCCGGCTGTAGCCCTATGTAACCACTAGTTTGCCTGTCGTCAGTATAATGTGCCCGGTGTGGTGACCAGCTGTAGCTCTATGTAACGACTAGTGTGCCTGTTGTCAGTATAATGTGCCCGGAGTATGTAACGACTAGTTTGCCTGTTGTCAGTATAATGTGCCCGATGTGGTGTCCGGCTGTAGCCCTATGTAACGACTGGTTTGCCTGTTGTCAGTATAATGTGCCCGATGTGGTGTCCGGTTGTAGCTCTATGTAACGACTAGTTTGCCTGTTGTCAGTATAATGTGCCCGGAGTATGTAACGACTAGTTTGCCTGTTGTCAGTATAATGTGCCCGATGTGGTGTCCGGCTGTAGCCCTATGTAACGACTAGTTTGCCTGTTGTCAGTATAATGTGCCCGGTGTGGTGTCCGGCTGTAACCCTATGTAACCACTAGTTTGCCTGTTGTCAATATAATGTGCCCGGTGTGGTGTCCGGCTGTAGTCCTATGTAACGACTAGTTTGCCTGTTGTCAGTATAATGTGCGCGGTGTGGTGTCCAGCTGTAGCCCTATGTAACCACTAGTTTGCCCGTTGTCAGTATAATGTGCCCGATGTATGTAACGAGTAGTTTGCTTGTTGTCAGTATAATGTGCCAGATGTGGTGTCCGGCTGTAGCCCTATGTAACGACTAGTTTGCCTGTTGTCAGTATAATGTGCCCGGTGTGGTGTCCGGCTGTAACCCTATGTAACCACTAGTTTGCCTGTTGTCAATATAATGTGCCCGGTGTGGTGTCCGGCTGTAGCCCTATGTAATGACTAGTTTGCCTGTTGTCAGTATAATGTGCTCGTTGTGGTGTCCGGCTGTAGCCCTATGTAACCACTAGTTTGCCTGTCGTCAGTATAATGTGCCCGGTGTGGTGACCAGCTGTAGCTCTATGTAACGACTAGTGTGCCTGTTGTCAGTATAATGTGCCCGGAGTATGTAACGACTAGTTTGCCTGTTGTCAGTATAATGTGCCAGATGTGGTGTCCGGCTGTAGCCTATGTAACGACTGGTTTGCCTGTTGTCAGTATAATGTGCCCGATGTGGTGTCCGGTTGTAGCTCTATGTAACGACTAGTTTGCCTGTTGTCAGTATAATGTGCCCGGAGTATGTAACGACTAGTTTGCCTGTTGTCAGTATAATGTGCCCGATGTGGTGTCCGGCTGTAGCCCTATGTAACGACTAGTTTGCCTGTTGTCAGTATAATGTGCCCGGTGTGGTGTCCGGCTGTAACCCTATGTAACCACTAGTTTGCCTGTTGTCAGTATAATGTGCGCGGTGTGGTGTCCAGCTGTAGCCCTATGTAACCACTAGTTTGCCCGTTGTCAGTATAATGTGCCCGATGTATGTAACGAGTAGTTTGCTTGTTGTCAGTATAATGTGGCCGGTGTGGTGTCCGGCTGTAGTCCTATGTAACGACTAGTTTGCCCGTTGTCAGTATAATGTGCCCGGTGTGGTGTCCTGCTGTAGCCCTATATAACGACTAGTTTGCCCGTTGTCAGTATAATGTGCCCGGTGTGGTTTTCTGCTGGAGGTTATTCGCATTATACGTCGGTGAAGTAGCACCATAAAGTCGGTTTCAATGCCGCACTGTCATTTATATCATATCGCTGCGTCGTACAAAGTCACTCAACACATGCACTGAACTCGGTCCATAGTGGTTGATAGGACGTTAACTAATGATATAGAAACTAAACCTATCTATCTCGTTTTTGCGCTGGATTATGATAATGTGGGTATTGATGGGTATTGATGATACCGAGTTCAGTTAAACATTGAATTGCTTTTCATTGGCATTCATGGACACATGTATGCCAACCAGCTAAATACAAATGCAGTTAATCGGAAGGCGTTATTATTTATGTTATATTGATACGAATGTAAGATACCATTTATCACATTCTGTTATATTTACATTTCTGATATAATTATGTAGTCAGTGTTAACGTTTATAGTAACATGACTACGTATATGATTGCCGAAATTTGACTTATTTATGACGTCATATTCATGATAAAACACACACGTGGCTTATACAATATTGGTCCGTTAACGTGTACATGGCCTGACGGGAAAGTCATGTGATCAAAGTTATACGAAAGTGAATAGGACTTTAATCAAGCAGAGAATTGTAAGAGGTATTCCACAAAAAGTCCTTCATGCATATTCATCGCTGATCTGGTTAAAACTGTTATCTTATACTGCAGGTGACAGTGACAGTGGACTCAAGCCCTGGTCACAAAGGTGTAGACGGAAAGGACGAGAAACCTGAGGGTACTTCCGGCAAACTATCGGGTCTGTTGTACAGTGTAGAAGAGGTACCCCCATGGGGTCTCTGTATTTTGTTAGGATTTCAGGTAAGGAACGCCGGAAGGGTGTTTCCCTATTTCATGTAGGACGTTTAACTACTGTAATTGCCGTGAAAATCTACGAGAATCACAACGGGAAGACAAGTTGTAATCGCCTCGTCTAAACATGAGACAGTCTGTATACACAAGTTGGAATCGCCTCGTCTAAACACGAGACAGTCTGTATACACAGGTTGTAATCACCTCGTCTAAACATGAGACAGTCTGTATACACAAGTTGTAATCACCTCGTCTAAACATGAGACAGTCTATATACACAAGTTGGAATCGCCTCGTCTAAACATGAGACAGTCTGTATACACAAGTTGGAATCGCCTCGTCTAAACACGAGACAGTCTGTATACACAAGTTGTAATCACCTCGTCTAAACATGAGACAGTCTGTATACACAAGTTGTAATCACCTCGTCTAAACATGAGACAGTCTATATACACAAGTTGGAATCGCCTCGTCTAAACATGAGACAGTCTATATACACAAGTTGTAAGCACCTCGTCTAAACATGAGACAGTCTATATACACAAGTTGTAAGCACCTCGTCTAAACATGAGACAGTCTATATACACAAGTTGTAATCACCTCGTCTAAACACGAGACAGTCTATATACACAAGTTGTAGTCGCCTCGTCTAAACACGAGACAGTCTATATACACAAGTAATATTAAGATCAAAGACGAGCTTGGTAATGCATTATACCTAACTTAATTCTAATTCGATCGGGTTTTCGTGATTTTTTGAGAATAGAGACTTTAGCATAATGTAGATTTCCATTTCAGAACACTTGATAAAGTAGATATTTAGTGTTACTGATGTACTACAATGTTATCTGGTAGTTTAATAGTAATTCGTTAACAGTTAGCATTCATGTAAACTATAAGTAGGATCTAGATATACGCTATGTACCGGGAGTATAAATGTAGTTAAAACTGTAGTATTGTTCCAGCATTACTTAACAGCATTTGGAGGGATCCTGACGGTTCCGTTGATCCTGTATCGAGCGTTTTGTATAGCAGAGGACAGGGTCGGTCTAAGTGAACTAATCAGCACCATTTTTTTCTGTTCCGGCATGGCCACGCTACTACAGACTACACTAGGCGTCAGGTCGGTAAATGTTTCTCTGCTTCAGTCACACATGTCAGGATTGGCATTGCATTGGTCATAACTTTACAGCTGATATCACGCCGTATCACACGGTAGGCAAACTACGTCACAAGATGGCGGATGTATCTCTCGCTTCCCGGTAAGTCTGTCTTACTTTTTACTCTTATCCCACGACTTCCCATTTATCGATATGGTCGCAAGTACATTTGATGCATTCAAGATTATTTGACTGGCAACGAATTACTCGCAGAATATGTCGTTGTTTCAAACATTCATAGACCATCGTCATATACTCTTAACTTTCGTCAGGACAAGTTGTTGTTTCATCAGATAAATGACTTGTGTGTGGATTATTGCTAAAATTTTATGTGTTTGTCCTGACGAAAACACCGTCAAAGTTAAGAGTATATGACGATGGTCTTTGAATGTTTGAAACAGCGACATATCCTGCGAGTAATTCGTTGCCAGTCAAATAATCTTGGATGCATCAAATGTACTTTCGACCATATCGATAAATGGGAAGTCGTGGGATAAGAGTAAAAAGTAAGACAGACTTTCCGCGAAGCGAGAGATACATCTGCCATCTTGTGACGTAGTTTCCTTGCCGTGTATCAGTTCTCAACTATTTATCAGTCTTCCTGAAAGTCTCTGACTGGAACTACCTACCTGTTCAGGATTCTTTCTGTCTGGGAGCGGCCTTGTGATTGGCTGAAGATCTAAGTTGTGATGTGATAACTTCCAGACATTGTAATGTCAAGTTGGTTTTACAGCACTCTTATATAATGCTATGATCACGAATATTTGCAAAAGTATCTAACAGAAGTGATAAACAGAAATTTACCTGTTGAGTTTCCATTACATGAGATTAATGAAACTTGTGATTTTTTTTTCCATTTTCCATTGACAAACGCTAGGAAAATTGAAAAAAAGTTAACCTCGTTTTACGACGTTTGAAACGAAAATAAATATAAATTAGAAACTCTTGTAAGATCCGCTACTTCCGGTCAGGGCATTGTGTGACTGAACGGTCGCTACAAAAACGGCGTTATTCATTGTGTTGTTATTATGACACCGATTCTGGTCCATAAGTTAGTTAAATATCCCCAATCAGAAATGAGAATTAATAGAGACGAGATCAGTTCTAGACATGTGCATTAAAGTAAATACCATATAATATTTCAGGCTTCCGATCATCCAAGGAGGATCCTTCACTTTTCTCACGCCAACATTCGCACTTCTATCTCTCCCGAAATGGTCGTGTGAGTACACGGAAGCCGAGAACGGTAAGTCTTTTATCGACTTAAGCAATCTTGCTATTTTGTTTTCCCCCTTCCGGAGACAGGTCCTTTTATCTGACCCAACCTTTCCCATGCCGTTCCGGAGACAGGTCCTTTTAATCTGACCCAACCTTTCCCATGCCGTTCCGGAGACAGGTCCTTTTAATCTGACCCAACCTTTCCCATGCCGTTCCGGAGACAGGTCCTTTTAATCTGACCCAACCTTTACGATGCCGTTCCGGAGACAGGTCCTTTAAATCTGACCCAACCTTTCCCATGCCGTTCTGGAGACAGGTCCTTTGAATCTGACCCAACCTTTCCCATGCCGTTCCGGAGACAGGTCCTTTTAATCTGACCCAACCTTTCCCATGCCGTTCCGGAGACAGGTCCTTTTAATCTGACCCAACCTTTCCCATGCCGTTCCGGAGACAGCTCCTTTTAATCTGACCCAACCTTTACGATGCCGTTCCGGAGACAGGTCCTTTTAATCTGACCCAACCTTTCCCATGCCGTTCCGGAGACAGGTCCTTTTAATCTGACCCAACCTTTCCGATGCCGTTCCGGAGACAGGTCCTTTTAATCCTTTTAATTTTCTTATAACGTCGGTGTAGGACTCCGGAACCTCACAGATCTACCTCCCTACGGCAGTCCCGGCCACCAGGAGATATGGCATATGCGCCTGCGCGAGGTAAACCCCAAATTATGCAAAATTATTAAACAATATACAATCAATGCAGTGGTTGAAAATTTACATAAATTTCTTCTCAATAATTATACGTAAAGAAAGTTACATTGGTTTTAACATCTTTCTAGTGACATCGGTCTTGTTCTGGTTGTAATCTTTGTCAGTGTGATGAGAAAATATAAAGACAAAAACATTTATTTCCGTTTTTAACACGTTCGTCTACAAATAAGAAATTGTTTGATATCAGTTTCCTATGTCATATCATGTATCACATTCTAACCGGTTGAAAGACAACGGTTAAAGCAACGGTTCGAACACAGAGAGAAATACTTTGACGTATGTACTGTCTATCTGTATGCTACAACCAATACGGGATTGTCTCCATTTTTGAATGTTTAAATCCTTATTTTAATGCTACTGGAGAATCATTGAAAGTTTTCTACTTTTGGTATATCTGGCCCAACTTGTATCCTTATTTTCAGATACAGGGCGCCATTATGGTCGCGTCGCTTTTCCAGGTCGTGATTGGTTTAACAGGTATCATGGGCGTGGTCCTAAGATTTATTGGCCCTCTAGCGGTCACCCCTACCGTGTCACTGATCGGTTTAGGTCTGTTCCCGGAAGCGGCGGACCTTGCATCCAAGCAGTGGTATATAGCCGTCATGTAAGTCACTAGCATGAAATATCCATCAGGTCTGTCAAGTATTTGTGTTTTGATATTGTTTCCAGAAAATTAAACAAAGAATATACATGTATTGTGATTTGTTGTAGGACAACATTAGTACTTTTATCTTACAATTGCGCTGTCATTGTGGGAATGCACCCGCCTGCTGTATTCGGTAGTGACGGAAAACAGCTGTATTTCAAGATATGAATAACTGTTTAAATAAGCGATTTTATTGACTTCTTTAGTGGCGTGCCACTTTTGACTTTCTTCGCCCTCGCCAAAATGTAGCTTATATTTCAAGACACTGAGCATGTGTATTTTCTGTGGAAAGTGCTTAATAACAGTATATTTCCGACTGAAATGATTTATGATATATTTTCTTATGGTTTTGACAGGACTATGGTGCTGATTGCACTGTTTTCACAGTACCTTCGGAACATCTCTATACCCTTCTGTAGATACTCAAGGCAAGACGGATGTGGAACGTATAAGCTTCCTATATTTAAACTGTTTCCGGTAAGTACAACAGGATACTAGTCAGTAATCCTCTAAGGGAAAGGTGGTCACGTGACGCCTAGCCGCATGCCTCAGTGTGTTACACCTAGGTATAGGGGTATATTATTATCTATCTCGATCGCATCTACTGAGAAATAGGACCGTGGAAGAATTGTACAGTTTAACTTGTTTTCGTTTATCCCTATCCCCAAATAATTTATCTTAAACTCTTAAAGTCTTTATCCTATATTTTCATTGGACCCTTTTACTGAAACAACACCGCTTTCACACTTCTACATTCAAAATCGTTCGATTCTATGGTCGCTGATGGTTTGTTCATCACTTGGACATCAATTTTATAGAAACTGCTGTTCTAATATTAAAACATTACCTGCAGCATTGTTTGCTTAATCATAGGAAGTTTGAAGATTTTTATTTCCTGTATATTCATGTGTTGATGTATTTACAAAATTATCAGTTTTATCAACTTATACAATACTCTAGTTGTCCAGGGTGGACAAAAGCGTCTTGGTGTAACTCTTGTGGCGGTTCATGTATCGAACGCGCCGTATAGCTAACATTTCTTTATATTCATATATTGTGTATTGTAATAAGTATACTGTTGGTCACTTCTGTAAATTTCTTGTACATAAACTTAGGATTACATTATTCTCCTAGGTGTTGTTGGCGATGTTGTCGGCTTGGGGAATTTGTGGGATTTTGACAGCAGCTGGAGCTTTTCCAACCGAACACACGGGATGGGGATATGATGCTCGGACGGACATAAAGTTAAGCGTACTGAGTGATTCCAAATGGTTCCGCTTTCCATACCCAGGTGAAGTTCTGGTCCTTGGCTCAGAAAGCAGTCTTATATAGAAGTCTTTAATTCACATCACACATGTACATATGGGAAACAAATTACTGACTGACAAAACTATACGAATTTCTTTTCATCTGGTAATTTTGTTAAGATTCATCTAACTTAGATATTAACTAAATACTGCTTTTGTTATGTAATGTCATCGTATTATTATTCTGAGGAAACAGTGAAGCACCCCGGGTACAATGAACAATATATAATGAACTGTCAAGCACACGTAACAAAATCCCTGGCAAAATGTGTTTGTATGTCGTGGCATATAGTGTGGCCCACGACCGTCCCGTCTGTCCGTCCATCCGTCCGGATTTTGTTTCAGTGCCATAACTATAGAATGCCTCAGTAGAATTGAATAATATTTTGCTCGTATATTAAAATATTTAAATTCTATGCCAAATTTGATTTTGCTAATTTCCTGTAATCTATACCAGAGATGTGGCCCTTTCTTGATTCAGAAATCGTGAAAAAATCATATAAAAATATAGCTGTGTCAGATATTTTGATTGAAATTTTGGTATATACATGTATAATGGCAAAATATTAGTTGAGTTGGGTTAGAGGATATTTTTAAGAGTTTTGCCCCTTGGAAAATTTCAAACAGTTCACATGTTCAGTTTTGTCTCTTTGGGTGTATTTATGTCGTACCGACATATCTTGTAATTTTTAATATAGTTTAAATAATGTGGATCTTTTTCTCGGTTTATAACCTTAGGTTTCATGAACATTTCATCAAACTTACAGTTGATGTTCACCTAAGATGTAAAACTCTTTTTTTTTGTCAAATAAAGTACTGAAATTTTCATCGAATTCTGGGACCGATAAAATCGTTCTAGAGACTGAATTTCTTGTGACGGCAGAATCAAGAAACTACTCTTATTGATGACATTTCACCTAGAGTGTTATCTTTTATCCAAGTAAATATTTATTCCAGTTTCAATTATTCTTTTTAATGAAATTAAGGAATAATTTTCATTAAAAACAAGTTTTTTTAAGTAAACGCAAAAAACATCGACTATACAGAAGCTGCCTTTACCATGAGGAGCATTCATGTCAAATGTTGTTTAAAAAAAACTGACAACTTAGAATGATATACTTTTGCTGACCTTGAAGGTCAATGGGGAGTACCCACTGTCAGTACTGCGGGAGTGTTCGGCATGCTGGCGGGCGTCATCTCGTCTATGATCGAATCTGTTGGAGACTACATCGCATGCGCACGACTGTCTGGAGCGCCACCTCCACCGGATCATGCTGTTAACAGGGGTAGGTTACAATGATTGCCATCACTCTGTTGTATTTGTGGTTTTCGCGACACCAGATGGATTGATCGTGGACGCCATTCACTCACGAGAGCCGTGACATACCAATTTTTCACCACAAAATCTAGATATACTAAACTTAGTATACTTAATGTTTGGATATGCTGGAAATGGCGGAAACAATATTTGTCAGTTTACGTCCTCGCAACTTTAAGGTCATAAGAAAACTGAACATTTGATGCTCGGGTCACGTAACGATGTCGTGTAATAGTATGTGTTATTTATAGACTTACTGATTTAAATTGTGTTGTTTTGACATTTAACTACACTATTTCTCAGTTGACATGAGTTATACAATAACAGACTATTGTGTAAGTAGACTTAAGTTTATAAATCAGTTTTTTTTCGTTTTATATATCGTAAATTATAGAACCGATACTTTGTTTCTGACATAATATAATATAACTATCGTGACACTTTACATATTTTTCACGTTCTTTCGCATCTCAAAATGTTTTATGACAGGTATCGGGATGGAGGGAATTGCCTGTGTCTTAGCTGGCGCGTGGGGATCCGGAAGCGGAACGACGTCATACAGTGAAAACATTGGTGCCATTGGCATCACCAAGGTAACGACGCGGGGAATGATAATTCCGTGTTTAATACCATACAGAGTAAAGAAATGCTATTTTTTTCTGTGGCGCTATATTATTTGTCATTGATTGGCGTAACATAGTAATTGAGTTCATGTGCGTGTCCTTCGTATGATTTGGCATTATTTGATGACATGCTTACTGTCCAGGTGGGCAGTCGGCGCGTGGTACAGATTGGAGGCTGTATGATGCTCATACTAGGCTGTCTGGGTAAATTCGGGGCAATGTTTGTCACAATTCCCGATCCCGTTATTGGCGGCATGTTCCTCATCATGTTTGGTATGTATGACGTCACTCCTACCCATAGCTTGTTCTCGTGTGTTTTTATTGAGATACGGTATCCCTAAGTAATCAAATGTGTATAACCTTTTAAATACAATGTATCTGTTTGAAAACATTTTCTACTTTTTAGCTCTTAGACATTTCTAGAATTCACAAACGCTCACGTGTAGAAGGTGACAAATAGGGCACGTGATACATTCAACATATAATGATCACGTGATTTTACAGGAATGGTGGTGTCTGTAGGATTGTCCAACCTACAGTACGTAGACTTGTCGTCCTCCCGCAATTTATTCGTACTGGGTACATCCTTGTTCTTCGGTCTCGCATTTCCGGTCTGGATAAAGGGCCACCCGAACAGGATAGACACTGGTAAGACTTAATATTACACTGTCAATGTGTTTTACAAGGAAAACGTGTTATTTTTCCTATCTCTTTACTATGATTATGATGGTGGTACGTAAGCCAGATCCTGTATGTTAGGAGAACTCCATCTTGGTGATCCACATCATGTATCACTGTCATAAAATCGTCTCTGACTGACAAGTAATTTAATAACAGCGTAAATTGAATGAATACATGGGTCAATCAGTACACTGACATTTGGTGGTGAGAAAACCCTCGAGATAGGACACAAAGAGACGGAAAACCTGTAACCAACCATGGTCGAGTCCTTCACTCAACTTTTAGGTTTTCAGCTCACCAGTAAAACCAACCAGCCAACCATGACCTCTGAATAGTGAAATTTCTTTTAATTTCGATAATTTGAGTGTCCAAAAGCACCATTTAAATGCCGACACAGACCGTTACTTTCAATGTTACAGGTAATGATGTGGTTGACCAGATACTCTCCGTGTTACTGGGAACAAACATGTTTGTAGGCGGTCTTGTCGGACTTGTACTGGACAACACTATTCCAGGTAGGTAGATACCACACAACTATTTATCCCTCCTTTTCATGTGATATTCGCCCTCGACCTACGCTTGGATAAATATGACTTAATTTACGTGGATGAACCTTTGAAGTAAAATCTATATTCGTCTGATGTGACAACCACAAGATAATGCCGGCAGCTTGGGTGTTCGGTAGCATCGAATGATTGAATCTGTAGTATATAGGAACAACTAACGGTTGTACACCATCATTCTGATTAAAACTCATCTCATTCTACATTGAAATTGAATATGGTTTCTGTGCAGTTACTGTTATCACAGACTTGGGTATATATATATTTTACTAATTGCGTGAAATCTCGCTCGACGAGACTGAAATTGTTGACACAGAAGAAATAACCAATGCATAACAAAACTGTAGTTCTATTCATTTATATTTTCAAATTGATAGCTACATGTATATTGATCTCGCATGAAGGTAGCCGCCAATTTTAGCGTGCTGGCGACAGGTTAATAACGCGATAACCACCATTTTCGGAGTTAGCAAACTACTTCTGTGCATTACACACATATGTAAATAGTAGATTTGTGACGTCATGTATGTCTGTCGGTAAATAATCACTTACCTTTAGTTGGTATATATCCAACAAACTTATATATCTGTTACAGGGACAGACGAGGAGCGCGGGATAAAGAAATGGCGGGAAATGACCAGTGTGACGGGAGGAGAGACTAAGCGCAGCACGGTGTATGATATACCCCTTATACAACCACTTCTCGACAAACTCTCGTGCTGGCATTACTTCCCGATGTGTCCGGCATTTAACGGGTGTCAGCGACGACGTCAGGATGATCACGTAGTTGACAACCCCAAATCATATGTCAATAAGGGATTTACTGACGGACAGGACAAAGATTCAACTAATCTGTAACCATGCCAACACAAAATTAAAGCATGGCAACACCATGTAAACAAATAGGTAACCCAGGAATATGTAACCACGACAACACAACGTAAACTCAGTTGAAAGATTGCTATAAAACGCCAGAAGTTAAACACGGAAACAACAGGTCAGTTAAGCTGCTGCTACATTGAAGGTAAAGCATATTTTGGCCTCAGATGGCAAAAAGATATGTTAAAAATTGAAAGGATTTAGAATTGTATCCAGAATCTAAGTCATGATCTGTAGTTCTTTAGTCTAGGAAAATCTGGTTATGTTCTCAGGACGTGCTTGATAGGAGAAGTTTCATTTCCTGTGATAAAAGCTAGGAAGGTATAGAAACAAAATCATAATTAATGATATGGATGTTTTTAACTGGTGTTGATGTGTTTTTGTTAAAAGAACATGAATTCGATTTCATGGCAATAGTTCCATTATTACATACACTGTGTTTTTATAATGTTAAACAGATATTGATTATGTTCACAGATTTTACATACATACCATATTTTTGATGACACTTCTACATATATATCTATAGTGTTTAAATTGTTTATTTTGCCAATATACTTCTAATACATTTCCATGTTTCACCGTGTACATACATTGCTTTCGAGGAAATAAAGAACATTTTTGTATCAAGCTCCTGTGTTGTTATAGTGACTGATAAATCTAAAACATTGGAATACCGTGTATACTGGAATCACTTCGTGCGGACGTCTGTCTGTCCGTAGACAACATTTGCATTCTCTCAGTTTTCAAAGGATGTCTTTCAAATTTCATATGAGGTACCAATACCATATGGTGTTGTGCCCCCTGAAGTCATTTCGTATTTTGACCCCTTTTTAAAAAGAGCTCTTCCCCGTTTTTAGAAAAACCCACGTTTTTCTGTATTTGTTCATTTTCCATTTTTGTTTTGTTTTGTTTCATTCTATGATAAGTTCGAGTGGATTATAGAGCTGTGCCCTCTAAAGGGATTTTATACATTCCTACATATTTAAAGAGATATTTTCACTTTATGCGGAAAATAAGACATTTGTATCGCTTTGCACTCACTCAGTTTTGAATGGATTATCATAAACAAATTCCAAGTCAATGATAGTGCCCCTGAAGTATATTTTGTAACTTAACCCCTCGTAAGGAGTTATGCCCCTAAAATAATTTTGAAATGTAACTATGCTTTAGCGAGAGTGATGTCCTTTTATGTAAATTTTGTGTGCAGTGTCTTTATCATATGAAGGTGTATCTCTTAAATGACAATGCATTAAAATTTTCTTTGAAAGCATTACATCTCTATGTCACTGTACATCCACAACCAATGTCGCCTTTTAAAAATCTTTTTTGGCAGGATTTTGTCTCTTTACGTAAACAAGTTCGTGTTATGTTTGCTCATTTTCAAATGTGATCCTTCAAAATGTCAATGGTAACGCACTCGCCTTATGAGGCAAGAGGGGCGGGTCCCAATAGGTGAAACAGAGAAAATTATCTAAAATCATATCTTTCTTGTAGGAATGAATGACTGGTAGCCAGATTTGGTCTGAAGAATTCTTGGGTGAAGGGGTCTCGGCCCCCTGAGACCCAGTGGCCAAATATTAGAAATATTGCAATTCTGAAAAAAATCCTACATCCTCCGTAGGAATGCTCAGTTGCTCTCCAAATTCGATATGAAGCATGCTTGGTTGAAAGAAAATCAATTTTGTATACATTAAGGGTCTCGGTCCCCATGGGGCAGAGGGTTAGAGGCCATGATATCGGAAAAAGAGGGAATTCTTTAAAATGCTCTTTCTTCTATATAAATGACAGGATTCGGTCCCAATTTGGTCTTAAGCATGAATGTTTTGGATGACAAATTAGGGATAGAGGGTATTGCCAAACTGGGAAATAGTTATGGCCTGTGTTGTATGCTAGAATATTTAGAATTATTTTTCGTTTAACTTGGATAAAGCAATTTCATCAAAAGAAAATCAGTAAGCGATAAAAGGCCTTGTGGACCTCCTGTTGAATCCGGGACAACGACTCGCTTATCACGTCACAGTGAAGGTATTCCAAAACTCAGCATCAGCAGCACAGATCTTCACTGACTACGCTCAGAATCACTGACCATTAAGACAAGTCAGAAATGACTCGGGACCATGATGATGAGGTTTGGATATCATTCATCATCTATAAAATACATAATCAACAGACGGTTACAATGTATTTGTTTTATTTTTTCAATGAGAGAAAACACATTGGAGATTTTGGAGTGACTAATGGCTGGTATATGAAAACAAGGATCTCTCCGACGTTTGATGTTGCTTGCTTGTGACGAGCTAACAGAATAAAACCATAATATCTATTCTATGTATACTCTTGCCTCCTCAGATTTATAAAATATATATGTCTTTATTTCAAACTTGTTTGTGTCAAAATCGAATTTCCATTTCACTCCTCTCAGGATTTTCTGTTATTCCAACTTTCCTACCCGTGTCAATGCCATATATGTTCGTTCATTGGATGTTACCTAGGACGTGTACTCTTATTTGGTGTTAAACAGATTTTTTATCTGAAAATATTATTAAATATCAAGTAGTATGTAATATCTACATTTTGTAGCGATAAATTGATATTCAGTTGTGTTCACAAGTATGAAAGAAAAGTGATTTCTCTATCTTTCTGGTGCGGAATCGAGAGAAAAGATGGACTTTAAAAATAATTGCGTGGTGATACAGCTGTAAAGGTTCAAACGACCTGAACTTTCTATTTGTATGAAGAATTGCTGAGTGTGTATATTTGAGATAGACATGTAACAGGAATCTACATTTTTGTCGGCTAGGTATGACTTGAGTGAGAAAAAGAATGTGCACCCTTGACATAATTCTTTTAGTGAAAGACTTGGTATAAAAGTAGAGACGGTCGGTGTCCTAGTTAGGTGTACATGGTGTTGAGGTAAGACTGTACATATATGCTACTACAGGTATTACAGGAGACGCAGTGCATTGCAAACTCATCATAAAATGCGTGATACTGTAGTGACTATGTACAATATTTGTAGCGTGTAATTTTCAGATCATGGGGACGATTGTAACTACAATGACCTGAATACCCAATTTGACAAAAATCCAGTGACTTTAAGGACGATGTATATATTTAAATATATTTATGTATAATAGTATCAAGGCAGTAACTCCCCACAAGGTAAATACAAAAGATATGTACATATATACGATAACTGGTACTTATTTCATAAGTATCTAAATGTTACTGTATTGAACTCAGAAGACATGGTGGCATTGTAACCTACACATCCAGCATTTGTATAGTATCTCTCTCTCGCTCTCTGTGTGTCTCTTTCTCCCCCGTCCCCCCTCTCTCTCGCTCTCTCTCTTTCCCCCCCCTATCTCTCTCGCTCTCTCTCTTTCTACCTCGCCCCGTCTCTCTCTCTGAGAGAGAAAGAGATGCGGAGAGAACATACAAAAATGCGAACTAGAAACCAGGAATATAATGAGATAAAAATAGGAAGGAAAGGGGAGAAACCGTAACTAACTTTTGACTCCTGATGATTAGATGAAATAGGAGGGAAGAAGGGAGAAACGGAAACTAACTTCTGACTCCTGATGATAAGACAAAATAGGAGGGAAGGGGGAGAAACGGTAATTAACTTCTGACTCCTGGTTTTTAGATAAAATAGGAGGGAAGTTGGAGAAACGGGAATTAACTTCTGAATCCCGGTATTTAGATAAAAATAGGAGGGAAGGGGAGAAACGGGAATGAACATCTGACTCCTGATAATTGGATTAAATAGGAGGAAAGGGGGAGAAAAGGGAATGAACTTGTGACTCCCGGTATTTAGATAAATAGGAGGGAAGGGGGAGAAACGGGAATTAACTTCTGACTCCTGATCATTAGATCAAATAGGAGGGAAGGGGGAGAAACGGGAATTAACTTCTGACTCCCTGTATTTAGATAAATAGGAGGAAAGGGGGAGAAACGGGAATGAACTTCTGACTCCTGATGATTAGATAAAATAGGAGGGAATGGGGAGAAATGGGAACTATCTTCTGACTCCTGATAATTAGATAAAATAGGAGGGAAGTGGGGAAAAACAGGAATTAATTTCTGACTCTGATGATTAGATAAAATAGGAGGGAATGGGGAGAAACGGGAATTAACTTCTGACTCCCGGTATTTAGATAATTAGGAGAGAAGGGGGAGAAACGGAAATTAACTTCTGACTCCTGATGATTATATAAAATAGGAGAGAAGGGGGAGAAACGGGAATTAACTTTTGACTCCTGATGATTAGATAAAATAGGAGGGAAGGGGGAGAAACGGGAATTAACTTCTGACTCCCGGTATTTAGATAAATAGCAGGGAAGGGAGAGAAACGGGAATGAACTTCTGACTCCTGATGATTAGATAAAAAAGGAGGGAAGGGGGAGAAACGGGAATTAACTTCTGACTCCCGGTATTTAGATAAAATAGGAGGGAAGGGGGAAAAACGGGAATTAACTTCTGACTCCTGGTATTTAGATAAAATAGGAGGGAAGGGGGAGAAACGGGAATTAAATTTTGACTCCTGATGATTAGATAAAATAGGAGGGAATGGGGAGAAACGGGAATTAACTTCTGACTCCTGATGATTAGATAAAATAGGAGGGAAGGGGGAGAAACGGGAATTAACTTCTGACTCCTGATGATTAGATAAAATAGGAGGGAAGGGGGAGAAACGGGAATTAACTTCTGACTCCCGGTATTTAGATAAAATAGGGAGGAAGGGGGAGAAACGGAAATTAACTTCTGACTCTTGATGATTAGATAAAATAAGAACGAAAGGGGAGAAACGGGAATTAACTTCTGACTCCCGGTATTTAGATAAAATAGGAGGGAAGGGGGAGAAACGGGAACTAATTTCTGACTCCTGATGATTAGATAAAAAAGGAGGGAAGGGGGAGAAACGGGAATTAACTTCTGACTCCCGGTATTTAGATAAAATAGGAGGGAAGGGGGAA